GTGAAAAGATAATATATCTAATTCTCTCCGGCAGTGGCAGGTAATAACGTAGGCCCATCCCCGTCAACCGGGGAAGAATGAACAGCGGTCACAGCCTGTCCAATCAAACCACTTGTGGCATCCAGAAGATTGACTGGGGACCGACCGTCCGTGATGAGGGTGCTCCTCAGATTCAGAGCACGCAGCATGCGTACATCACGTTCGGGCAAAGCGCAAGCTATGTGACGCAGGTTCCCTGCGCCCAAGACTTCGACACGCTTGAGGAAGTAGGCCGTATCAATCTCTACGTCCTGTCTCCTGCGTTCAAGATCCAGTTGATTCTTCTTCTGCAGGTACTCAAGTTCTGCCTCACGAGCTGCCCGCAGCCGCACCAATTCCGCTTCCTAGGCAACCAAACATGAGCTAAGTCGGACACCGTGCGGAAGATGGGGGAGGGATGGGTAGGTGGGTGGGTACTACTTACTGCCCTAATTCTATCCGCTTCAGCCTCTAGCTTAGCTTTTTGGATTTCGGCCTGACTGCTAATGAGAGTTGCTTCCACCCGACTTTGAGCTTCGGCTTTGGCCTGACCACTGCTTTCCAAGGCTGTAAGTTGTATCTGCAACTCCAACAGCCTGCGTCGAGCCTGTTCAGCTGCTGCCTCGTCCTCAATGCGCTGGCGCTCCAGTTTACCGCGGGCTTCTTGCTCCAGTCGTTCAGCCTCATGCCTGAAGAGCAGTGAATATGGGAAGGGCGAATTATTTCGATGAGGCAACTCGCATCGAAGGCCCTAAACACCTCGAATCTGGGAAGGGCGGGGACGAGAGGACGGAGAATGGCAGTAATGAGACAGTGGAGGTCCCTGAACTAAAAGCGTGCACCTTGCAAACCACGTGCACACAGACTATCAGCATCGTGCACACTGAAGAATAATTAATAACTCTGCAGACCGCCGAGCCTACAACGCCCAACACCCAGTGGTTTAGTGCTGACACCGATACCACCAGCAACTGAAAAGCCGTGAAGTCTGTGGGGGAAGGACACAACTCTTACCATGAACATTCACCTAAAAAGTCAGTTTACAACAGAACCACTAAGGGTTCCAATTCGCAATAGCAGAGGCGTATCAGTGGTTAGTATACGTCGTCATTACTTTAGGTATGCCCAGTGAAGAGCGCAAAGACGAATTCTCACAGCAGGTGAGTTGAGGCGTGTGCGCTGTGGCAAAGTAAACAACATGCACGGGAGTATGAGTCGGATTGCGCGTTTCAGGGTATCTGAACAAGTTAAATCTCGTCTTAGCGTACCACAGTTTGTAGCGGAGCGCAGGAGCATGATCTCGCGCCAGCTCATCTTAGTCGGGCGTGTACTCACACGCGTGGGCCTGGTTGAGGTTCGAGTAGGAATAATTCTTTTATGCGTCAGCACGGGAGTAGGTGCTGACCTGGAAACCTGCGGAGAAAATTATCTATTTTCTCCGTCACTGGGCGAACAAAACATGGACGCATGCACGCTTACTTCACTAGCGGCAACTATATGAAGCAATATTAGGGTAGAGGGTTGGCGCGGTCGTGCTGATAAAAACGGATATGAGACAACCTAAGAACCACTAAACAAATTTTGGATCAAACCGGGGAGTATAAAGGATAGAAAATCAAACAATAACGAACGTGGTCTTTCTAAAGAAGGCAAGTCCCGGAAAACACTTATTCTCAGGTCTAGACAACAAACTGCAACAACCGTCTTCGAGAGGAGGCGGACGATGAGAATGAGAACGACCGAGGCATGCTGTGAGACGCGATATATACCCCCCGCTTAGGAAGTCGTCCGACTTGCACGTCGACATAGTGGCTGGATGGAACCGAACGTTAATGGGATTCAACGTCGGTTGTTCGAGAAAAACAAACTTCACTGGACCTATGAGTGAAGCGGAACTTTTTACAACAAGACCGTCTTCGCAAGACGCAATAAGCAACAGCGATGAAAAGCTCGAGAGAGAGAGAGAGAGAGAGAGAGAGAGACTGCGCTTTTGCGGCTAAGTTAAGCTCATTCACAGTCATCGAGACTGGCTTTAGCACACAACCTCAGCTGACTTAGGAGGAATCTGATGAGAAAAAGTAGAGAAAATACCGCAATAGTTGGCCCCAAAACTGACAAGCACGCCCAGCAAATTCTCAGCGTTGAAGCAGGTTCAAATTGGATTGTCGCGTGAGCAGAAAAGTCGAGTATCTGCCGAAACGACTTTTTTACGATGGCGTTGCTAGAAGTGTTCCTTGACACGGGGGGGGGGGAGGAAATAAAACACCACCACGAAAATTTCGCCCAACTGCCTCGGAATCAGCAAAATCTCCTAGAAATTTCTGACGCAGCATGAGTAGGTCAGATCATCTGTCATGAAAGCCGGGGCAGAAACCTCCGAATCCAGGAAATTAAATCACAGACAGTCGACAAAAACAAAATACCTGCGTTTGCCAGTATTGCACAAATCCCTTTCTCGAAAATTATGTTAGGAGCTAGTTGTACCTAAGCCGAAACAAAGATAGTATAAACTCGGAATGATCAGGCGACCTAGTTGTTGACTAGGCAGTCTTTGTGTCGAGGGCCCACTTCAGTAGTGCAATTTTACTTTGTGCGAAAATAACCTATCTCGAACTGATAAGTGCTGTTAATGAGTGACTTACCGGCTATCCCAATGACTCCAAACAAAGTTAAAACGTTCATAAACCAAATGCAGCAGCCCTGCGATTCCCAAGTAAGTAGCAACACCCTCCAGTGAACCAATATATGACTTGGGCAAAGCCGGACGACACACTGCCAAAAACCTGGAAGAACTGAGACGATGGATTTGACGATGTGTGAATAGAAGGTAAACATGGGAGCCTGTGGCCTTACCTGGCTGCAGCCTCTTGGGAGTTGCTGGTTATCTCAATCGCTAACTGAACGGACTTTTGCAGTGCATCGCGCGTACGCTGATCTACGGGCTCCACGGCCTGCACGTCCACGCTGCTAACCACAAGACCGTTTTGCGGGAAAAAAAGTCGCTTTCCCACGGTGCCATCGGCACCAGTACCGAAGACCGACTGTCTGATGAGGAAGGCCGAGTTCTGTGGGAAAAAGTTGGGGTCGGGAATCATGATCCTAAGCACCATAGTCCTCTTCGTCAACATGATCGCAACCACACGCACAGTCTCCAACATAGGTCATCATAATTAGCGTCACCGCTATCATAGCTATCAGCACCAGCAACAACATGCATATGATCATCACGTCACTCAGTCAACTCAACAGTTCAAGCATGTCTCGGAGGGCAACATACTGGGCTTACCTTGTGGAATGCGTCAAAATTAACCGAGGCTACCAGCCCACGTACACGGGCCGCAATGGCTTTGCAGAAATCACCCACGAAATCGGGTTGGGCAAACAGTTTGGCCGCCATCTCCTGTGTCGGGTTGGGCGAGATTTCGAAATGCCAGTTGTAAGACAGCTGAATTGAGAGACGGGCGTGGTCCGCAGTTTCCACAACCAGGACGTCAGTGCAGAAGTCGGGACCCAGGAGGAGGCAAATCGTTTTTATCATGTTTGTACGTTTTGGCTTGCCACCACTGAGGCTAAGGAGGGTGAATTGCTCGTCTGGTCCCAGCATGACCAGGTCGGGGCCAAAAACCACACGCGAAGTCTTCGACTTGTAGTCATAGACCTGGACGGCGGCGTTGTGTGGCACGCGATATGTTACCACCTTAGGGTAAGATTGAGAAAAGAAAGACATACAGATAACCAGGCGGCGAGGCAAGCCCAAGTGCAATCCTGAGTCTGAAGCCCTTGTGGAGTCAGAGTAGGTTGGGGGAACCAGAAAGGATCACTGAAGATCCCCCTAAGCGTACTAGCCGTACAGAAGGCCTCCGCGAGTTCCGGGCAGAAAAGCAGCCAGCAATCAGCGAAAACACACTAGAGTACCTGAGCACCCAGAGAGGTAGAGAGATAAAGGCCAAATCCCAATATTTTGGCAGATGTGGTTGGGAGGAAAAGCTGGCTAATCACAAATTACTTATAGCCAGTTCACTTTTACGCCGTAATGGTATTTCACTCGTCGTAATAGACGAAGATAACGAAATGATTATGCATATGGCATAAGGCAACTCACATAGACAGAGCGAACACACAAATCAGAAAATGGGACCGAGTAATTTTTCTATGAACCAATCTAGGCAATCCTCAGCCCACAATCCCAGTGATTATTAGCAGAAACAAAATCAGAAATAGAGATGCACAGAAGTTTTTCGTGCTGCATCTGTGGCCAGACATAAATAAAAACATACCCGCGTAGAATCCCAGTTGCCCTCTCCTTGCTCACTCTTCTTTAGATATTCGCCTCTTTCACCCAGGGGATCCCTTTGTGACACAAGTATCTGCTCCACTGCGGGGGGAAGTTTCTTATGCCAAAGTTCCTCATTCTGGTTAAGCATGTAGGTGGCGCCAGTGACTGCGCGAACTTGACCAGTCAACCTGTCTCGCACGTATATGCCCTCATTCTCATTGAGAGGTATGGCCTTCCGGACGGTGACTACCTCCACCTCGATCGGCGGTACATACTCCAGGGGCCCGGTGAGCATCCACTCTTCGCCCGCCGTTCGGGCCTATGTTACAAACAAAGCAAACAGAAAGGAAAATTAGTTCAGGCTTGGGTAACTTCCTTTCCCAAAAAGAATTTGTAGCCGATCTGGCCCTGATATATGAAAGTTGCAGAAAAAACGACAGCTCGAATCCCGAAAGCATCTACTTATTTTTTAGACATGATGGAGTCGAGATAACATTTTCATTTTTATGCCAGTAAGCGACATTTAAATATCCATCCTTATTCGTTAACAAATTCCAAGATTTGTCTTGTGTTACACTGCGTTTGATTGAATCTAAAGTTCAAACTGTCGCGTTTCGCGGTCAAGGGTGCGCAACAACTGCCTGACATCCAGGAACTACGCATGTTTTTAACGACATGTTACGGGACGTAAACATAACCGACAGTGCTTTTAGTTAAACTGTATCATGAACAATAGCCTGGACTCAAAATAAGTGTGGAATCTAAAGTTTAGGGAACTCATAAATCAGTAGCTAAAGGACTTACAACGTCGCCATCTTGGAAGGACTCCATTGCACGAAGAATGATGCCTTCTGTCTCTCCAAGCACGTACACTTTTTCTATCCCTGCATCCAAGCGTTCGCCAGGCATTAGAAAGAAGGATTTCTCCCCCCGAATAAGTAATTTCTTGCCAATTCTAGGAACACCCTTGTCGTCGACTGGATCGCACAGGACGCAGTAGTTTCCGGAAGCGAGAACAACCGGTGAGGCAACCTGAATTACCTCCTCGTTAACACTGGGGATATGGCTTTCAGTATCCAGGTGTGTGATTAGCCACTCCTCACCGTGTCTACGGCGCTTCCCGAAGTCATCAATATGCGTTCGCTTGGCTCTGACATGAAGGGCGTGCTAAATGAAGAGACACCACACAGAAAATTGTGACTTGTTTAACGGATTCCCAGCCAAGTAGAGGCATTAGGAGGAGGCCGGCTGTAAGCAGAAGATTATTGGTAGCACTTACTTTTTCATCTAGATGGTAGGCTTCGACAGTCTTGACACGCTCCTCATAAGCTCCTACCATGTAAGCGCCGACTGACTTCACCAGCCACTCCTCACCATACACACGCTTTTTGCCGTCCTTGCCGGTAAAATCCATTAAAGCACGTAGTAAAAGAGCTGTGTTCGGGAGGATCATTTCCGCCGTTCTTTTTGACAGTACTTCGACCTCCTTGCGCGGTCTGTATACACCTAGGAGGAAATGGTTGCACATAATTGATCAAACAAATTTTAACTAATGGAACGGAGAGGGGAGCAGATGAAATGGCATACTCCTATAGTTGGATGATAGGAAATTTTGGGAGCGGTTGCTGACCGAGATGTTGTTATTGTTAAGTCTAGAAGTAGGCACATGCATGACAAAAACAATGGGGCTCTTTCGAATTCTTATCTGTCGGTTTTAAGCATCTGGGTGAAATAAATTCATTGCCTGCAGGTTGGCCACAGACCAAAAACTCGCCAATCGGCTACTGCAGAAACGACAAAGAAAACTATAAATCAGATCCTCTGTTTCTGAGAATGCTTAAGTCTACAGTACTGTGCGGGCTCCAGTTGAAAACTGCATAATAGAGTAACCCTAATCAATGTCTCAAATTCTTAAATCAAAGAAATACCCTCAAACGCCCTATTTCCGCCACCTGAATGGTCACGGAAGCTACTGAAGTGCTCAAAAGATGAGCTGCAAAAGTAACATGCAGCAGGATAAATAAAAAACATGCAAAATCTCGACGCAAAAATAAGTAACTGATAGATGCATTTAACACGTATATGCAGTTAAGTCGGCAACACATCTGTTAGAGTGACACCATCAGCCACAGATTCTAAGTATTGAGGTCTTATTACAAACCCGCGGAATGGAGCATTTGTAAAAGGTGACAAATATGTATAAAACACATAAAAAGGTCTTGCAGCTAAAAATTAGACCATAAAAGTTTCGAATAGAGCTCTCAAGCATAAACAACTGTTGAGAACCAACTGCACCAACTGCAACCGATAAAACGGGTGTCAGGAAGCGCCTGACCTGGGAGGATAGCGATCCTCTTCCCATGAAACATAAACAAACGACTGATTGCTTATTTGTACATGTGTACATTCTGCAATTAGTTTTATACAGCTTCAATTCTCATACAGACGCTGGGATGAATTTTAAAATCTCTCGGAAGCTGGGTAAAATCAATCTGCTGATGTTTAACAAGAGTGGTAACTTGGCTTAGTTACCACGAATCTGAGGGCAAACACCGGGGACCCATTGAAGAGCTGAGTTATTCACAGGTACGTTATGAAACGGCAGAGCATTTGTAAAACAAGTAGTTCGGTTTTATGCGATATCTGACATAACTTTTACATTGACTGCATGCACCGTAATGATCCTGTTTAGTGCAAACTACCTGGAAAAGTAAGCATGTTCGCCTCATCCAGTGGTGGGAGCACTTCCGTGATAGTGTCAAATGTACAGGTTCTGCTAGTAGTTTAGAGGTAGATTTAGGGAGAGAGCAGCAGCGGTGGTATTGTTAAAATCCCTAAATAGGCAGTGTCACACAGATCATACGAAGTACCTCAATGCAATGGGTGACATACCCGGACCTTCGAACAACCATCGTTCTCCAGCAACACGGTCAGTACCGTCCTCTGATTTAAAGTTAATCAAAGCAGAAAGAAGAAGTGCCTCATTCGACGACAGAACGGTTAGAGGTGCGACTTCTTTCTTCATTTCCTCCCCAGGGTATAGTGGAAAAGGAGGCTGGGTAAAACGATATTCCTCATCTCCGTAAATTAGTGCAGCCTGTCCGAATTCATCCAAAATAACGGCGCCGTTCTGGTCCTTCTTGACAGGATTTGAGATTATGCAGTATTCTTTTGGTGTTATTGTAATCATCCGTTGCGGCATCTTTACTATCCTGGGAATACATAGTAAAAGATATGTTTAACTGGATACTTTTCATGATCCTTCCTGTAGAACGTGGTCGGCCCCGAAACCAACGTCGTAACATTGGTATTTTTGTCCAGGACATGAATGAAATGATACGGCGGAATAGCAACACTGACCAAATCGGACGACGCCATCACCATCCTCCGTAAGTGCGCGCTATGCGAGTGAGTAACTGATGATGTACGCGCGCGGAAGGTTTCCGCACGATAAAATGATTGGTGGATAAAATGATATATACGGCGGTGTAGCGCAGTCTTCGAGCACTTTCGCGTGCAATGCGATGGCGTCCGCTTCTGTTGATGAGTTGCAATCCCTTGAGGATCTGTTCGGCCGATATTTCCAGTCACTGAGGGACCTGGAAAAAGTCATCATGAAATTTAATGAAGGAAGACTAACATAAGAGTATTTCTAGGGAACCGGCTACGATTACAAGGCATGAAGTTCTTACAAATATCGTTTAGGCATCCATTCATTCCGATAAGTTTGTGTACATCAGCTGGAAATATGTGTACGTCACAGCTCCGACGAAAAAGAACAATGATTAATGCCTGTATTTGATCTACAATGCTGGCTTTGTAGTATGAGACTCATTTTTCAGTCGGTAACTTCCTTTTAAATGGACCAGAATTATGACTCTGTGCCGCTCGAAGAAGTTGACATAACAGAAATTTTTAATGGGCATGTTTTACGGAATTTTCGAACGCTAATTCCGTCGTCCACAAAGATTTAATGTGATGATCACTCCTTTATATGTATGTTTTAGCACATGAGCAAGCACTGGTTCTGCGTGGGCATTTTAAGAGACTGATACAAAGCGTCATTTCTAACAGCTACGCAGATTTGATTACCGGGGTAAGAGAATATGAAAAGGTAAATGAAAATACGGTCTCTTTTGGAAATTTCAGGCAGCTAACTCGAACTTCCGAATTTCTCAAAGTTTCTATTTGTCAGAGGACCATCCCGCATATGGCAAAATTATACATATCAAGCAGGAATGAAATGCCTCTACAAACTATCCTCCTAAAATGGGTACCCGCGTGACCTTATACGTCAATACACGAGACATCACCAACTCAAGGGAAAAGGTACTTCCAATTTTACGGCCACTCGGGCACCAAAACCAACCATCTGGCGGACTCTCCCATACATGAAAAATGTATCTGAACTAGTCGAAAAGCAGTTAAAAAAACATTAGATATGAGTAGCACACCAACCTGCAACCACCTTGCGCGCACAGCTTGTACACCCTAAGGACAGCATTGGCTACCTCAATGGAAAGGATGTTGTCTATAAGATCCCATGTGCCAGTTGTGATGCTACCTATTGTGACCAAACTGAGGAATCTGCCTCAACCCGAATATGCTAGCATCAGTTAAGGGTGAAGAGACGTAAGCATTTATCCCAGGTAGCCATGCACACACTGGACACTGGGCACAAATTTGCATAGGAAAACGCTCGCACTGTTAGCGCCTGCCCAATCAGGTAGGACCGAAAATTCCTGGACGCAATGCACTAAAATGAGGCATCCATCAACGTGCATATCGATCTAGATGTCACGTACAACATCGTTTAGGACAAATTCAAACTGGCCCAACCAATCCCGAGGTGGTAAATTGCAACAAACACGTAACGGTACCGGTCTCGAAAATTTACGCAATAAATGTTGTTTTGTTCCCGAAGAATCTTACCTACTTCAAATTAGATTTTTGGGAAGCCCGTTTTCCAATGCATATATGTATATACATACTTCGCCTGCGCCCACGCGGGCAGATATTGCGGGAAAAATTTGAAGCAGAGAGTTAAATAATTGTTTTCGAACTACCTGATAATGTGTCAGGTGGATGAGGTTTGGATGCAAAGCAAGATTCAATGCGGTGGAATTTAGAAGAAGACTGCCAGTGGAATCAGCTTACATTCTGCACCGCCCATTCTGTAACCGGATTTTGGTGTCCGCATATCCCGAATTTCGTTATTTTGAAGACGTCGGCAAAAATCATCTCAAAATGATTGCTAAAATCGGGCCTTCTGCCGGTCGGTTTAAGGTGTATTTAAGAGGTAAGCCTTGTCTATAAAAACAGTTCTGTAAATTCTTTTGGAATAACAAAGTGAAATATCAGGGCGCAAAATCCGCCCTGGCCTTCTGAGCCCTGACAAGTCGGCAATAAGGACGACAGAGGCCTATCTTCAAATGGACGGTCGTTTTCTTGATTTCCTCTATGGCAAAAAAGGCTAGAGGCCATGTTTTCCACAAAGTCGGCCCCAAAAGTCGTGTTTGCCGAGCATGCAAAAATGGTGCAGATGGACAGCACCTGCCGCAATAGCCGCCATGGGTCTGCATTGTATCACATGGTCATGCGCGGCCGGTGTGTTACGCATTCACACCTAGGTGGATGGCAAAAATCACCGAATGGGTCGTTCGGAAGTTGAAGGATTTGAAAGGCCCGGCTTCCAAGGAAATACGAACGGTTTAAATGACAGGGGTGTTAAAAAACTAAGAGCTTCGAGACGCATTTTTCCTGAAATTGAGATTCCTATTTTATTATGTACTTTTAATGTCTCTGAATCTTTAGGCGTAAAGTCACTAGGCACTACAGCAAAGAGATAGCCGACCTGGTGATGTGTTTTGTCAGGAAGGTTGTGAGAGCCCCTAGTCTTTCAACAAATACGTCTGCGATGCAACAGCTTCAAAATGATTTCCCGGGGCCATGATTCTATGTCCAAAAAATTGGTTGACTTGTGAGCGCCTGTTGACCAACCATGCTCGAGCATCGGTTATCACCCATAGTGGCAACACGACGAATAAGGCCAAGAGTCTTAATCGAGCGCTCAAGCAATGGTGTAAGTGCTACACTAGCTTAACGGACTGTGTAAATAGTCTGGACATCTGTCTACAGTCGAAACAAGCTGACAGTGAAAGATTTGAGGCCAAAGTATACTGCTGTTACGGGCAGTATAATGACCGCTCCAGACACATTGCAGCGATATGTCAGTGGCTGACAACGTATGCATCAGATGTTTTCCTCAAAACATCTTGATGCTAGGAAAAAGGTCGAAAAATGTGGTGGATGGGTAGTCGAGGGTTTTTGTCGATTCTTTTCAAATTGGGAGCTGCTGTATGTCCCCATGGCTGCGAAAGGAGTTGACTTTCAGCTCACTCTGATAGGCTATAGATGACTGACTATCGGAGTTTCTGAGATAAATGAAAATCTCGACGCACACTCAGTGACCATTCTTTTCATCGGATATGGTTATGAAAGACGTGCTGCCTCCATTCAATGAGGCATACAAGTACCGCGAAGTGATGAGACGTATAATGTCCATTCCTGAGAAACTCAATAACTGTGGGCAAAGGCGCTTCAGCGAATTGCTTCGTTACTTAGACGACTACGCCGACGAAATTATAGATGGTACTCCCTCTGATTCCTACGACCAGTAGTCACTTTACCCCGTGAAGATAGATGAAAATGACGAGTACGTCGGAGAGGGTTCAGTGGCTATGTGCTGTGTTATGAGGAGGGAGGGCAATATGTTGTGTCCACAGCTTGGAGCCGGACATGAGCAGCCCATTTTAGTGCTATGCAATGACAGATTGCTTCCTAACTTTCACATCCGAAATCGACTTCGTGTCAAAGCCCTGGCAATAACGATGTTTGTAATCAGGAGTCGTTCGTCGAACACTGCTGCTAAACAGGCTGGTGGATCGGCTCCTGGTACACTTATAATTCAGGCATCAATAGGCAGCGGCTGCCCAGCAGTCCATCTGACCAAGAAGACTGTCTCCAGCCAGTCGTGTATCTTTGTTACTTTAAAAGTAACCGGCGCATCTGACAGGCCGAAAGGCTGCAGTAGGATCGTGACAAATAGGTAAAAGTCTCAGGTGTTATATTTCTGCCTGCCGTACGTAATCCCTTCGTACTATTGCTCTGGTTCTCCACTTTGAAATACATGGCATGCCAGTGCCATACCTAGGGGCATCTAAATCAAAGCTCACTTAACAATCCCGGCGGCACAGCCAATGGTAAGGAAAGTCAAAAAAAGTTTAATGTGTTTCTGTGCAATGATTTGCCGTACTAACAACAACCGGTACGTGTTTCTCTCAGACACAGCCTTCAAAGGACAGCCCGCAGGACTGTGACACAGACATCGCCAAAACGGCAGTACTGAATGCAATTTCTGTGTGTCAATTATTTTTACGATTTGATTCAGTGAATTTTTTCCAATTTAGTAGTCTTCAAAATAATCGACCGCCGCTGGCACAGCCGTCATTTGGCCGTTCAATTAACGCGTACAGTAGTGACTAAGTAGGCCAGGAATAGGGTGACAAAGGCAGTTTGGAAGTATTGGCGTAAAGCATGGGTATTGGTTTGAGCAGATGCAGTATGCGCAGTGGCCAACGTCCCACTATCGCCGCTTCCGGGGTATCCCGAAAAATAGATGCCTCCTCGATATCGGGATAGCGGACAAAACCAATATCTACCCGGTATGCATATCTAGAAAAGTAGATATCTAGTCGATATAGGCCTGACATAGTTTGCTACTACCTGCTGGCACCCACCCCGCCAAGCCCCTTCACAGCCCCCAATATTTCACATCGTGTAATAGACGCATTTACGGTTAAAGGTAATTAACTTTTACAGATCGACAGAAAATCCAAAAAATACTGCAGATCACGAAGTCTGACGGAGGGAGTCAAAATAAAGAAAATTCGACGGAACATACGACAAAAACTAGCAGGAATCAATACATACACAAGACAACAAGCGCCTTACCCAAGGAGAGCGGCGCGAACGGGATCTTGGAAATGAGCGCGAGAAAAAACAAGCTTTAAAACACGACTATTATGTCAACAAAAGGAAGCAATGAATGGAGAGACGCTGGCGTTGTAAGGTTATAATGAATTTTTAGTAATTTTGTTAAAATAGTAATGCCATGCATCGGTTAGTAGATTTGTTGAACCGATGGAAGGACGCCTAGTGGTTGACATTGATGGTGGCGACTCAGATGTAGCATCTGTCGGGACCCTTAACAGTAGGCGTTGATAGGATTAAGCTCGATTCCTTTCCTTTTCAATCGATCTTTTTTTGCTTTTGCTTTTGTTTTAGTGGATTATTTACGCATTCTGTTAGATTGCTCTGCATATATTTTGGTTTCATGGGTGTACTGAATTTGAAATTCGTCATAATTCTACCGCAAACTGTGTTTAGCGCTGTTTGACATGCGAAATGAATAAGTGCCTAAGCGGAAATGAAAAGTCGGTCGGCGCTAACGACTAGAAACGAACATCAAATGGGACCGCCGGTCGAGGGATGACTATGGAGGAGACGAGCTGACCAAGCAGGTTTTTATTGTGACTTGCTTTTCAAACAGCCCAATTTACAGTTCCAGACCGTTTTCTAAACGTCTGGTTAACCGATTAACGTCTCATTCGGGTCGGCCAGGGGTTGATAAAGAGCCTTCCTTAAAAGAGTGGAAGAGTTGCCTACAAAATATCAGAAAATTGTTTGCACTCTCACATGTCCAACTAACCATTCTCGAGGGCTATGGAATGCCAATCATCCGGAGGACGGCGAGTTTACTTATCAAAACTACATTGCATAGGTTAAGAAGGCTAAGATATACTGTCTGAATAAATAACTGCATTTATCTTGTTTTAAAGATCCGCGAGAGCTAAAAAGTTAGCAATATAATTCGGCTCAGTCTGTTGGAGTACTTGGCAAGGACTACGACCAGAATTTTGTTGAAAGCTAGTGCTTGCCAGAAACATATGGTTTAGTGGGCGAGGCAAGCGCGAGAGAGGAAAATGAGCGTGTGATCACGCCTAAACAGGGGAGAGGAATCATAAAACTCAGCCAACTGCTTAGGGCAGAATGCTGACATAACTAGTGCAGCAGCAACTTTTTTTGTCGTTTAGAGCTTCTCCAAGAAAAATTTCCAGGTTAAAAAGATGCATTATAGAGTAAACTCCGACAATTCCAACTGTCTAAAATCGCTGAAACTTTTTATTTTGTATAGGACCCTGCATAGACATTAAAATTATTCCTTCAAGAATAGCCTAAGCGAAAGCCGGTTAACATGTTAAGCTGAAGAGGTTCGCTACTAAGAGGCCAGTGGTTTTATATTGTACCCAATTCTTACTACTGCTTGCCCCTCCCAGCCGACTGTATTTTCCTTCCAGCCTCCGCCTTTTCCAAACTAGCTAGTAACAAGCCTATCCCTGTACTAACTCACTTAGTATTGTGATGTTTGAAACAGATATCCCTACATTTTAGTCTTATCACAGCCTTTTTGCCGACTCTTCATATACCAATAGCTCTGGGCTCGTTGGTACTTGTTACTCATGCAATAGTCGCTTATAGCCTAACTAAATACCTCCTTTTTTAAACGACGTTGACAATAGCCATGCTGGTCGAAGCATCTTAAATATTATCTTATTAAATTCCAGGTCTGCTATCAACAAAATTCCCTTGGTAAGGGTCATTTCTCTCGAAATAACGTTCGATATCATGTGCGTGACCGAATTCTGGACCCATCATCTAATTTCTGACTCTTCTCTTTTTATATATGGCTTCTATTTCTACCGTCAGAACCGCATAAATATGTATGAGGGCGTATGTCCTCCTTATAATAGGTCCGCCCTAAAGTAGAATCCTGGTAATCTGAATGTCCTCTCATTTACTGCAAATTTCCGTTTTCTACTAATTCTTCTTTCGCTACAAAGGAAGGTTTTTCTTGGCTATATCTGCAATCCTCATAAGTTTTTAGCTACGGATAATGTAGCACTCTGTGAAATCATTAAATTAATTTTGGAATCTGCATCGATGTTGGAAAAATCGTTGGCGGCTTAAACTTTCTTGAAATTCATTCGCTTTTTAGTAATAGTCCACCTAGATTCCAGCCCTTCCACGATATTACCAATTTTTCTGATTGATCTCAGATTGTATGCCCTCCAACAAAAGATAATCACATTGTAAATCTGGTTTTTACTAATGACATTGCTCCCATTTTCATTGATTTCAAAAGGACCTTTTGATGGTTACCATGCATTATTTCACTGTTGCCTACCGCTTGCCTTTTCAATAAACAGCAGTACGGTTCTGACCTACCTAAATTGCAACTGTGTAGACAATGACTTAATAAATAACTATACTAGATCATTGGGTTGGTGTGACTTTCTCTCCTGTAATGATGCAACAGCCCTTTGTGACGTCATGTCGGATGTTTCCAAAGACATCTAAGAATTTTTGTCTCGTAGATGTCTCAAGTCAAACTGCTCGCATTTCCTTGTTGCTCGCTTTCTTTCTAGCAGACTGAGAGGGTTGAGTAGTCAGCTGCGCAACGTTTCCACTTGTTCTTTCTCCATACATCTATGAATCATGGGGATGTTTGAAACGGCTTCCAAGATGTGTCATGTGGGCGACTGGCAGAGGGGATCACTTGCCTTTAATAATCCGGACACCAGTGACGTACTTCAAGACATGACCTCGGTTCGCTACACTTCCTTCTTTGCATTTAATATTTTTTTGGCGGAAGTCAGAAATTGGCAAGGTACACTCTCGCTAATGACCTTAACTGTGTTTATTCATATTCTGAGGTAAACTGAAATATTTTCGTTCCCAAAATTAACTATGGTCCAGTAAGCTTGTGAAAATGGGGTTCGACATGCTAGATGAAGTTTCCTTCGACCAATCGTAATTTCATGTGATAAGGTCCTGCCAAGGTTGTCGGGCCTAAACCCCCCCCCCCACCCAAGAAAACCCACTCCCAGAATCTTCCGTCATAGGGGACCCAAGCCTAAGTTATAAAAGTAAACTTACCCTGTCACCTCTTGCAGATCGAGCCCCTACAAAGGCTGTTCAGTTAATTTTTCCTCCCAGAAATGGAGCGGAGACTTTAACAAACGTTTGTTGTTCTCGTCTTTAAATATTGCTATTTTTTCCTTAAGCCAATAAAGGCCTGCAATCGTAGCAAAAGCGAGAATGTTCAGCGTGCTTCCACTTGAAAACTTTTTTCTCAAGCTGAATCCGGTATTTCATACACTAAGAGATGTCAGTTGACGAACATTAAGTTTTTATGGATTGGAAGGCTTGAAGTTGACCTTTGCTCCCTGTGTCGCACTAACTCTAACTCCAATCTTCCGCACACTGACGCTCTCATTACGGCAGACCAGTATTATGTTATGCGTAATTCCATCTGTTGATTCCATGGTGATTATTTGGTACAGGACCCTGTGTTGATATTATTCAAGAATGGCTTGAACACAAGTCAATTAAGATGTTAGGCTTAAAAGGCCCGCTTATAGGAGGATAGCGCTTTGGGGTACATTGGAGTTCTGAGACTTAATACAAAAAGAAATTTCATGATTAAACGAGCCTACTCGTACATCAATCTTTGTTTTACACTTTGATTATTCTTCACTTCGGTGGTATCACCAGTGCAGTAAGTCGGCATTAATTTCGACAAGATGGCTTGCCTAGTTAGGGTACTTGGTACATGTGGGCTCCTTCATAGCTTTTCGTACACACGACCCAGTCTGTGGCAAAAATCTTAATAACGAGCGTTATCATACATTGTAAATACGCCGTCTTTGCAAAAGAATCACATATTTCGAATTAACAGTGTTAAAAGTCGATGTCAATCAGAACCTGTCGGGAATACCTAGATTTCTAAAAAGTTTCGTCCGACTTCATTAAAATGCGCATGAACACGTCCTTGCCCTTCTCGTCATCGATTGCGCCCACATCGCTTCCTTGGCACATGACTGTTCCATTTCCGCAAGAAATAGTTCTACTTAGTCTTTTTTGAGATAGATTGGACAGAATCGTACTCAACTTGTACGGGGCGCTACAAGCACATGTGGTATTTCAGGAAGGATAACTTATGGAGCACAGTACATTTTATCATTGACGATTCATGCTTTGCTTTCCTGTCATGTTTGCAGTGTGAGAAAGCAGTCGAGAACGCATACAGTTCGTGGTATTACCCAGTTCCAGCACTATTTGTAACATTGCCGGGACGGAAACTGAAGCTGATGAAGACACTTAAGTATTAGCCGTCCGGTACATCCATGGGCCAATCTGGCGTTGCGCATTGACTCACAACTGATTAACCACACTGCTCATGGTGTCAATGAGTGCCTGTATAACTCGCAAGCCCATATCACCTTTGATTCTTAGTACAGACGATATGACAACTAGAACAATGCATATAAGGTTCGAACTCGACTCCGCAAACTGGGTCCTCCCGAATACGAACGTTAAGCCAACTTTATCCTCCACAATAACCCACGAGTAATTACTTTCAAGGATAATGCGGGACTTCGCTCCAGTGCCTCCAGATTTCTAAACAGGAATCCGATATTCATATCACGTAAACGAGCGTCTTTGGCACTGTTTTTCACCTAAGTTCAGGTTAAATGCCTCATATTCATCTGCGACCTCCAGTCTCCAATGAAAGCTGACATCTAGACACTTCCTCGTCCAACGCGCAACTGAATGATTCAGTTGCACTCCAAGGACTGGCTGATTAAGGACAACGCTGATCAAATAAGAGTGCAACTACACCATCACCCAGAATACTCCTACAACCTTTTTAGTCCGTAGAACCGTGCTAGCCATACTGCATTTCGCCAGACGGCCCAAACAATTTCAAGAAACGAGATCACCGTCATCCCTTTGTCAGTCCTCTGGCTCACGGCATTTCCATCGGAGTCGCACTCGTCAACATGGACCCATAGACTATAGTCAAGTGTAGCGCCGCGTTGCGTTCTGCCGCTCAATGTCAGCCTGTGGAACCAACCCTGCATCTTCTACTTCCAGTTCCAACCGACGTTGCCGCTTGAAGTGCAAGTCCAAATCCAAGTCTATCAACACTTTGCTGAGTCTCTTGGCCCCTTTTCGTCTATATGTAACTAACCGGAGAAAGTCTGTTGACGTTCTGCATAATGGTCATGCAGTCTGCTATAGTTTGCCCCTGCATCTGAAATTACCGTAATCTACATGAGTTTCTCAAAGTACCTAGACACTTATGAAATGTGGCAGACTACCAAATAAGCCACCAGCATATGCGGTGGCCTCGCAACGTTGTGTATCTTTTGACGGCACTATCATTATCATTATCTGCTACGTCACCTGGTCTTATCTCGATTGGACTCGAATGCACCTAACTACCTTGTATTGTCGAATTGCCGATCCGTGGTGTTTGCAGTAAAGTGGGGCTTCCTGTCGTGCCTTCAGATCCCGCAAAAGACATCCCTTAACGGCTCACTTCAGTGTGCAAAGACGGTCTGAGTTGTTGCACATAAGGCAAATCATGCCGCGCTTGTGTCAGCAAATCTTCCTTTCAAAGAGACCAGTCCCGCATGCGACGTTGTCACTGGCCGATGCTTAAATAAGGCGTTTGGATAAATCTGGGTTCCGGTGACCATGACCTTCTCCAATCGGACGGCTCAAATCGTTGTGCTTATGAAGTCGAATGGCTCGATTCATATTTCTGCTGACTTCTCCGCCGGTCTCACTGCCGCGCCAAAGCCGAACTACTACCCGCTGCATATCCCTGTTGTTCTGTACACTTTACTGAATGTTGGCACTTGTTTTGCGAAGTTGGACATGAGTGAAGCGTACTAACAGACCGTAGTCGTTGAAAAATCGCGCGAAATACTGACGATCAACGCCGACCGCAGTTACCTGCAATACACTGTGCTGCTGTTTGTTGTCAAGCCCGCCCTAGCGCTGTCTCAAAAAACGAGGACAGCAATGCTGTTCAGTATTCTGGGCACAGCGGAGTATATTGGTACTATTATCACCATTGTATTACACACCGGCCGAACTCCAAAAGCTTGTGCGCGCAGAACTTGAGTGCGCGCAGGTGCTCTTCGTTTAAAAGATAACGAATACCAGTGTTTCCTCGTACTAGTCAAATACCTTGCGCTCCTCTTTGACGCTAATGTTTGCCACCCACATCCTGAAAACATTCATGCTGTCCAATTGATGCTTACATTCGTATGAATTTCTGGTCCCGCTCTAACGTATGTAGCAGAAGAATGCCCCCAGATGCATGTCTCCCAATTAGTCAAGAGGCTTCGTCCAGCGAAATTCGATACTTAGTTCGGTACTGCTGCTCACGCAAGGCAATCTTCTATTCGCAATGGTGTCCAGACCTAACATAATGTGGATGACCGACACGGGCATTGAACTGGTGCATGGAAGAGGGAAAAACGAGGTGTCGACTTTGGGAACATCGTCCTCATGGCACTTCGGCATCCTCTTCACTAGAAAGACTCTGACCTGCTTTGAAAGCATCAAGACGTTCTTATAATCGTAACTTGGAAGACTGCCGGCTGGCAGGATTACACGGTCTTCTCGGGACGGCAATCCCGGCCACAACAATCCCTTATTTATATATTTTATTAAGTGCTCCCAAAATATGGGTGTCAGCCGGCTGCTTTTTGTTTGTTTGGACGCCTGATTATCGTGCGCGGACCAGATGGGGTGTGGTACGAGAAGACTGGTTGTTCAATTTCGTCAATCACTGCACCCGATCCCGCCCCAGTCCGTTCCACTCAGTTTTGCCAGGGGTCAGATTGGAGGGGAGGATGGAGTGCCGTGGTCGCCGAGCAAGTGTGCCATCGCTGCGGACTAATTCAGACGCAGGTCATTCTCACGCATCTGTCGAGCTGCGGGACACACAGTGAACATTGGCGTTCGCGACAGCCAAACTGACATGCGCCAGACAGTGACGCAAGGTCGCAGTATACGATGGGAGTGAGATCACTTTATCTTTCTCATAGTGAAAAACTCTTTCGTCCATCTGACAGAGGAAGTATTTGGAAGAGTACGGAGCACTGATGAGTCTGCAGGTGAAAAATCGACTCCAGCCACCGCAAAAACAGTTAGGAGAGGTGGTCGAAACCAGACAAGACAAGCTCTCCAATACACTTATACCCCAATAGAACAGAATAAACATGGAGGTGTCGGGCCTAGTCACGTCAAATTGTTAGATAGTAGCACAATTCCACAACAACGCTCCAAAACGTAACATAGCATGTTCACGAAGCAATATATGCATAACCTAACACGTCAGTGGATGCATGAATCTGAGGGGTACTGGCAGGTCCCTTAATGAACATATTCACGAATGGTTGAGATCCTCAATACAATTATATGCAATCAGTAAAAGCTTCAGTCATTTGTAAGGTCTAGGAATACACTTAACCTCAAACGTGCAATGGTGCGTTGCATGGGAGATTAAATCAGAAATTAAAGTTCCAGGCTGGCCGTACGTAGTTTTGCGGTGGAATTCGTCGGTAATTATAAATCAAACAATCCAAATGCCTGTTGAGTACAAACATCATATCAGGTCCCATTATTTCACTTGGCGGTGACTTCTATGTTCGAATTATTCGCTGAAAGAAAAAAACTCCCGTAAGTCTAGGCTCACACATTCACGCTTGACCAAACACGGATAACCGCGTAAGAGACTCATGTTTGGGAACTCAAAGTAATCTCCTGTTTGAAGCATGCAATCCTGCCCGCGGATAGTGCGGAATGTCCACAGCAGGTTGCATCCCCTTTTTCCTTAGGATAGAGGGAACAAATTCAGTTTTGTCAGTCCGTCGGGATATGATAGAATCCTGAAATCGCCCACCACTTTTGTCGCCTGTAATTGCACGCTCTCCATAAGCCACTGTCTTTCCTTATCCAAGGCATCCATGTTGGAATTCAATATTTCAGGTGCAGTCTAACGAACGTGTCTAAGACCTCCCGAAGGGTTTGGGAGAATAGACCAAGATAGCACGCCAAATCCAGTGCACGGTGCTCGTTTTCCTTTGGTTGACTCTTGCAACAATCGGAGGGAAGCATTTTCGAAGTTGTCCAGCTTTCTAGGTTTTCGGATGTAACCATGTCTTTTAGTGGGATCCCCATTTATACAAGCGTGGGTATTTTGAGAAAAGTCTACGACTAAGACGTCTCCGCGTAAGATTACGTCAGAAACCACTTGATGAACCACACAGCCGCCTTATCAACGGTTCCTTGGAATTTGTCCGCGTCTTCAGCACTGCTTACGGTTTTCCAGATTTTTACATAATCTGTGGACATGATGACATCGCCGTTAAGATATTCTGTACAGTTGTTTATATGGATAGATAGATAGATAATTTTTATTAAAGACCCGTCGGGGTCCCATCAAAGCAAGTTAAAATAAATTTGCATGCGAGTTTTAGACGAGGTAGGCCGAATCTTTACAAAATGCAATTCATAGTTTCTGAATTAGAAGTCCATTGAGAAACATGATGATTGAGGGGTGAAAAAAACTCCTTGGAAAAAGTTAAAAATGATTGGATTAATTTTACAGGAGAAAAAAACCCCTCTTTAAAAATAATAACAAAAAAAACCGAGCAGGACTGGCCTGTAGGTGGCGGTATATAACGGAATGTTTTCGGTCATCGTCAGGGTATCAATAAATGTCCGCCTTGATGGGTACGAATGTGGGTCAGACAGGACTGGCTTGCAAATGGCATTGTATACGGGATTCACAATTGAAATCGTCTGGGCTGGATTGGTACGCCGCGTCAAAGAGGCCAGACGAGAGGAACCGAGATGCGATCGGCCACAGCACGCTTCGAGCTCAGCCGAGCAGTGAGGAAGGGAGGTACGACCGAACTACTAGTAAACAGTGAAGACTGAGGGTTCCGCCGGGAGTGTCGACAGACCGCATGAGGTCGGAATGCGGGAGATGACATCAAAAACCGCGAAAATTGTCGCTATGGGGGGGGGGGAGGATAGCGATGGATGAGGAGGAGAAGACATACTACAATCGAACCCTGTGGGATACCGCCTTCTACTGGTCCCCATTTACTTACTTCATTTGAAAATAGTGCCCTAGACTTCATACAGTCAAATTTTTTGTAGGATTTGTCGATGAGGCATGCTATCAAGCGTTTTTCTAAAGTCGAAGAAGATGGCTTTCACTGGACGACCTTGAACTATAGCTTTTGTCTACCTTTCCGAATAGTATGGACTACTCGTAAGGCATGGGCGACCACAACGAAATCCTTGGTGGACTGCACAGAATAGTTTCCTTTGCCCCAGATACATCAGTAAATGCCTCTTCGTAAGTCGTTTCACATCCCTCTACAAAACGCAGGTTAAACTAGTGTGACTGTAATTTTCGGGCTCCAGCCTAGACCTCCCTTCTTATATCGGGAAATATAGTTTTTCAATTCTCAATAATTAAGCCTTCATTCATGGACGGGATAGCATAGACACCAGCCCATGCAGTAAGTCGGTCAATTCTCAAATGATAAGGGGATAGAATCTATCTATACAAAAAGACTCGTTAGGTTTCAGGCAAGATAATTCTGCCCTTATCAATGTAGGTATGAAGCAAACGAGACCATCTACTGCAAGCTGTGCGGAATTGTGTTCTTATCTTAAACATGGGAGATGATGCGACTTAGTTTCATGATTAAATATCCACTGAACAAGCTAAAGAAGACTGATTCTTTCGTTCGGTCATCGGCCTCCACTCCTTCACTTTGAGTTTTTTGCGTCAGAAATGGCCAATTATTTCTTTTGCTAATACGCTTGCAACCGTATAGGATCTTGGAATTCTCCAAAAAACTCTACAGCATGTATTCCTCCTTGCTCCCTCGAAGCCCGTTAGTCTCACATTTACAAACACAGACCGGAGTAAGTTTATTATAGTGACTTGTGGGCGCTGTCGGTCTCCACAGATCACAGAAAAAAATAAAATAAAGTTATCTATTTCGGCTGCACACTGACTACATCTGTTTTGGATGCCTGCTTAGTCAATATATCACGAGCTAAAGGGTTTGTTTTGGGTTAAAAAACCTGAATTTCAAGGTAAAACGATAGGAAAGTTAGAATAAACGAGATAGACAGTTAAGGGGTTTAAGTCCCGTATAAGGCAGTTTTTGGAGTCCCGAATATTTCGCTTTCATGGACATTGGTTAACGTTGATTTTGGTCAGAGGGTGAATTTACTGCGAGTTTATCAATGTAAATGTCTGCTAGTTGCCGTTTGCCATGTAATGGCCGACGACGTCGAGGATGCCATACGCACGGAAAAGTAAGTGCCTGCGGTTGTTATCAGTCCGCGGGGACACTGGGCAGAGCAATAAGGGCAGTGAGCACACGGATCCAAGCCGACTCTCATGGAAGTGAGTGGAGGGGACGCCTGGGGGTCGCGTGACCGACTTTAAAAACTTATCGTTGCGCCCGAGAAACCGGAATTTACTTACACGAATAGTGACGACTTGTCAGCTAGGTGACCTGGCTGCAACTACGTCGATACTAAAGAGCACAAACTCGGTGAGGTTAGAGTTAATCAGCAGCAAGGCTCGTGCGTCGAGCACGGACATAATACGAAGCAAACTGCAGGACGGAATAACTTTAGGCCACCGGGAACAGCAACCGAAATACTGTGATGATGGAAACAAGGAATTTCCAGAAACGCCAGTATGAGTATGGTGGAAATGACTTGCGTGGACCCCTAAACAGGACATGGAAATAGGTACGGTGGGGTTAGGAAACGCGGCCTGCTTAGCCTCCACTTACTACTCTCATGCTACTATTGATTCCAGCAGATGGATATCTTCAATTAAAGGTACTTCGCGGACTGCCGCGATTATGATTCACAATTACGTTTGGGCTCAGGCTCTACGGTCAGGATTTACGGTTTGAGGCTAGCGTCACAGAGTCATTCGGAACCCACTTCTCACAACATCCATCTAGGGCTTACATCTGAAAGGTCACATTATCGGGCGATTCAGTTCCGATGACCTTGACTAGCCATTCGTCCTTATTCTTCGTGGAATTGTGTTTACCGGTTATTTGCAGCGAATTTTCATATTCCGCGCTGCTTTCGCTGGGGTTTTAATACCAACCGAAACAAACGTGCGTATTTACCTATAGCACCTGCCTTTTCCCTTAGTTTTTACGCATCCCCCACTGTTTTCCCCGCAGCCCCACGCATAAAACTCCTTTTACCACGGTTCCTGTATTGGACGCACTTGGGCTTCCCCAGTGCAGGTTGTTGTATCAGCAGATTATATGAATTATCGTAGGACTGACTTATATGGCCCCCGAAATGGAATATGGGAGTGTGGACGCCCCGCCCAAGTAAAAAAGGTGAACCTGTTCATAATACCGGAAAGGGCGAAATATCCCCGTGTTCTAGTCGCAAAAATAACCCTTATGTAAAAGTAAACCGTTGCCCTAATCTTGACCCTAACCCTAGCTTAAATCTTAACCCTGCAGTTAGCACTAACCCCTACCTTAGCTCTGGACTTGGTTTTGATTTACCTTGCCAAAAAACCGCAAATCCTGCCCTAAACCTAGTCCTTACCCTAACCCTAAGCGCAATCTTAAACTCAATCCTGATTTCACTGGAAGTTGGCTCAACGCCACCCGTATCGCAGGCGGTTCCTGTCCTCATGCTCTTTTAAGGGGGGCATATGGGTCAGTCCTACCACGAATACAATATGATCCACAAACTCGAGCTCTCGTCTTCTTCGGGAGATGACGAACGCGATATGGTATCTGGACCTCCAATCTTTACGCATATCAATTCGGAGTCCCCGCTGGTAAGGAAGGAGGTCGGCAACATGTGACAGGAGCGAGATCTTGTCTACAGTACCGATATCAGTGTATCAATTTATTCGCCAACTTAATAAGACTGAGAAAAGGAAACGGCGGGACAACCCTGCGGTCAGAATTTTCCGGCGTGCCTTTTCCCCGACGGACCAATTAGCATAAACAAATGGAAAAGAACATTGTTCGACAGCCTTGATTTATATTTTAAATATATAAATGGTACATCAAGCTCTCATAAATCGTAAATGCGAAAAGATCAGTGGAAAAAAATAACTTCAAAAGAAAGGCATACAAATACACATTGCAACGCAAATCCAACTTTGCGCAGAGGAGGACGTAATAGAGCAAAGAAGCCACATAGCGTTGCACTAAAATTATGCGTACTGTAGAAAGAATGAGTAGGAACGATGGATTGAGATTGTTGGCTGGTCTGTTGGTGGGGTGTGCGTAATGGGAGACCTGGTAACCGGACAGCTACTAGGTGGGACGTAGGCAGCTCAGTAGCAGGCCTATCTGTTGCAAAACTGTTATGAGTGCGTATCTGTAATTGCTACAATTATGTATTCACAAAAGCCAAGGCTAAGTTGGGCGGGTAGTTATTGTTATAACTACGAATTACCAAAAATTCTGATGGGCCGGAAGACGTTCGTTGTTATTTGGAAGATCAAGCAGGAAAGGAATACTTCGGAAGTCTAACCGAAAAGCTGCCGAAAACAGGAGCTGCAGTAGGGTTTTGAGGCGCGCTCCTTAAAGGTGCCCGTGTTTAGCTGTCGCAGACAGTATGTGCAGACAAAGTGTTGCAGGTGGAAGCGCTTACCCATCGCGTTGATGCAACGTCCAGATATGGGCTGAGAGCATGATGCGCAGATGGGACTGGTGAAATTGTTCTGGTGAGCCTCACAATAGAGGAGTCCCTCTTTAGTGAAGAAACTTCGTCCAGACAGGTTTCTAGAACATTCCTAATGGGAGAAGAAAGAGTGAGTTGTCATTAGGACTTGAATACCCACTGCTACTTTGAGCGTATTGTCGTCCGAATTCCGAAGGTACGTTCAAAACAGGCAGACAAGGTCTACTTGCTCGATGATCTAGTATGATCGCAGGAGACCGCGAGTTTAGTGAGAGCTTCCCGTATGGGGACTTCCCTTAATGAGGCTAGTGCGCTCAAATGTAAGGGACACTAGTTGAGCACGACAACAGCGTGGTGGTTAATAGTACGTCCTCTGTCCATATGAGCAGCTGAACAGTGTAAGACTTGCTCCGTCCACGTACAGCAGTAGCCCGTATGTATCGACAGATGGAAGTTAGATTACCTATCGTTAGAAGAGTAGCACTCAATGTCGTGCCAGGTTCAGTCCTGCTGTGATATTGTAAACATATAACATGGTAAATATGCATTTGGACTGCGAGTTCATGGTGTCCGTTCTTAAATTAGACAAAACATACAAGACATATACTTAAACATTTGGCATCCATTGTTCTAAAATACACAGCCCAGATCCGGGAGCCAACAAATGAAAATGGCGGCTCACGTAAATCTTGGTGGAGGCATTCTGAGTTGTTAAATAAAGCAAGACTTGTGTTTGCCTTTCTAATTGGATGCATTCTTGCGCGACCAATCATCAATCTCTTGAAATAGCAGCGTATGTGGTGGCCTCTCAGTATACATTGGCATGCCATGGAAAAGGGCACTGCGCCTAGAGCAACGCTCGAGACGTAAGCGGAAACTGATTTTTAGAAGGAAAAGAAGCACTACTGGTAATTAACTATTGGCTACCGTTGGCCAATTGAATGGTTGGTGGGCATACAAGCTCTAATACTCATTTTCGACTGATCAATCAATGTTGGAAATCCTGTTTTAGAGGACTCGAACAGCAATTCATCTCAGATTATCCGACACGAAAAATCGCACAAACAGAAGCTTAAAAATTTAAATATTTTAACTTATTCAGTGCCGTAGCACAGGTTCTTATTCAGTATATCTTAACTGTGGTTAAGACGAAAGCCAGGGAACCTCATTTTAAGCCTGATGATCATTCTCTAAATTTACACGGGTTACCGCGATCTGGAAAAGGAACATTTTGCATTAAAATCGACTGGACTGGCATCTACGTCCAAGCGCCCCTTCGCAAGTTCGTTCTTAATGATTAGTCCGTTTATCAGGACAAGAATTACCTTGTTCGGAAGTTTTTAACGGACCTCTCCCTGTTACTTACCTAATAATATATTACGGAAAATCTTCAGACATTATATGACTTTCCACTACTTGACGTATTAATATTAGAGATCATGCATTATCGTAATATATCGAAGTTGTAGTAACACACTGTTCCATCCTTCCCATTGACTGCGCGATAAACCTGGAATGCCAGGCACCACAATAAGCCTTCCTTTGATGTCAAGAAACCTGTATTATACTTGGTTTATGCTGACACTTAATGACTAAGTTTTGAAGGAACATCTGGCGACTCAATTCATACTTGGAATCCAATGCAACATGGTCGTAATGCAATATTGGCGTTAACTGCTTAGCATGAAAGAACTGGACCCTCTCGCAAATACTAAATAGTGCGCGTCTTATGAGCCAGTTGGTCTGCCAGTAGGGGACTTTTAATCTTCGTAAGGTTTCTTGGACTTTCAACTAAGCACATTTTTGTGAAGAGGAGACCATCCTCGAAACGTACTTCTAAACCCTACGAAATAACCCAGAACCTAATGTGTGCTCTTTCATCGATATTTCGTCACATTGTTCGCGCGGACCTATTAATCGCCGTCAGTTTTGCCGTCCACAAGCCAAGGAGAACTTACATGGCACCTGAAGCATTGCTCGTGCCAGGGGCTGTCAGAGACAGTGATGTAGTCGCCGGTGATTGGTTGCTGGCAGCCACCACAGCGTGCGCCGAAATTGTTTGAAAAACAGGTTCTGAAAAGCAGCAGAATTATCACGGAAATTTAAAAACAAAGTCACAGGAGCTCTGGTCGACCTGGCAAATATTTATGAATGCCCGAAATCTATGTTCTGCAGAGGCAGAGAAAAAAAATCCAGCTCAACATAATGACACATTAGTTCAGGCTGGTGAGAGATCAGAAAGCATTACATAGAAGAGGCGCTTTCATTTCAAGGATGACAGAAGAGGCCAGGTTGCTGGTAATGACTAACTGTTCATTCATCACACGAGAAAAAAATGCTCTTTCCGATATTTCGGGCTCATATGATTAAAAGTAAACAGTGTGAAAAGCAAATGAAACTATCAGAGACACAGTTCAAGTACTCGCTTAAGTTTGCCCAATATCAGTCTATTCAAGTGCATTACCATTTAACCCCGCCCATCCGAGAGGAATCGGGATAATTTTATAATCCTACAGTATCATTCACTGTAGAAGAACGTTAAGTCTCCCAAGAATGGTTAAACTATTTGGATGACAATGCCAAACCTAGAACGCATGACTTGAGCCCCGAAACCCTATTGACAGATTTCAGGCAAGTTTATGCTGAGGACTCCCTTTCTTCAACAATCTTAAGATCGTTTACGGAATGCTTCTCACGCTTCGATATGCTGTCCTTTTATCGTCACGCGACTGCTCAGTGAAGTCCCGGCTTGACCGTAATGCCCAAGGTTGGCATACGTCTAAGGTCTGATGGGCTGCACTCACTAATGTCAGTGCAGCGTGCATGACCGCTGTGTAAACCACCACCATTCGCTGTGAAAACTCTCTCATTTTTCTTGCTGTATCACACACCTTCCCGCCTCAGTTCATCCTGGTTGAGAACTTTCTCACTTAATAAAGGACGGACATCATCAGTACTGCGGATTCAATATCAACTTGTTCCCGTTATGACGGCCCATTTCGATCACACACTGGATCTTCGAGCCCTTGCGAACCAGTGCCCGAAATCTCGAACAACACCCGTCAGGCACACCCGCTCTGCTTACGTTGCACCTGCACGTTCAGCCACCGCACTGACCTTTTTGGTCATGTGCAGGCAATAAAACCGCACAGAACCCCTTGCATCAACATCACATTGCCTTTTGGCAATGTCCATAAAGACAAGCAACTGGAACATGTGTGTGTGTGTGTGCATGCAATTAATGGTCTGAAGCCTTACGCCACGCAACCACCGCGCCCAGTCTCATTCCCACTCGACCAAAAGGCCTACACAGGGGACGGACGCTTGGAAGGAGTAAGGCCGATCCTGAAGTACAGTGAGTGACCGATTTCATGAAATGTGGCTGAAATTCCGAAATGGGTTTTCGATTAGGAAGGATTACTTAGGCGCGCTTGTAATACCGATTATCTTGTGGCACAATCCTATAATATTTCGGACTCGACAGGATGTCAGCTTTTGAATAAACTGCTTATCAATCTCCTGCAGAAACTGTACTCGGTAAAAAATGGTTACTTATGTAGCATGCATTTTTTCCCATTGATTTTCGATGGTCTTGCAAATTCAACTGCATCTTATAGAAACCATAAACAAGAAAATGCTTTGTTTCAGTCAATTGATGGAGAATCACGTCTTCTTTATATTTTATACTCAAGGAAGTAGTATAATTAGGTTTTAAAAGTGTTTCTGGTTATGAGATTTTTTAGGACCGCGCAATGTCCATTCACATAGCATCGTACCTAGCCGATTACCACGGCTCCTCAGGAAATGTACAACATAGTCCGCGTCCATTGCAAACTTTTATAGACTCTGTATGATATCTTTTTAAAGGCATATAAAAATATGTGAATTTCTTTGCGCGGAACGCATACACCTTGTAGACTGAAATCACTATGCGCCAACGCAACGAATGATCAGGCTCCGAATTATTCGGCAATTAGAAAACTTTTTCAAAACCTAATTATACTCCTTCCTTGAGTATAAAATATAAAAATACATGATTCTCTATTAATTGACTGAAAGGAAGCATATTCGTTTTATGGTTTCTATAAGCTATATTTGAATTTGCAAGACCGTCGAAAATCAGTGGGAAAAAATGCATGCTACATAAGTAGCCATTTTTTACCGAGTGCGGTTTCTGCAGGAGATTGATAAGTAATTTATTCAAAAGCTGACATCCTGCCGAGTTCGAAATATCATAGGGTTATGCCACAAGATAATCAGCATTACAACCGCGACCAAGTAATCCTTCCTAATCGAAAACGCATTTCGGAATTCCAGTCAACATCTCATGAGATCGGTCACTCACTGTATCACTTTTCGTACGTACTCAGTGCATTTCTCACCACAATGAGCACGACGCACTCGGAACTGCCATGACGTTCTAGAAGCCGTGATTATGAGGGTTGACAGCTGATGGGGTGATTCAGTCATCCCCTAAAACTAAGATCAGGTAAGAGAGCTATTTGCCAACGTGGCCTCTATGGCGCCCCTCGTTTTAGTGGGATTCGAGACCCACAGTTGAAGCCCGGCATTTTTTAACTTGGGGAATATACGACGACGGCAGTTTGGTAGTTGCGAACTACCACGTCCACCGTCTGTCCCATGGAATGGGCGCACTAAGTAGTTAACAGTGAGGCAAACTTGTGCAGCGCCTGCCGCACTCCCTCCTCCTTCACCCATCTGGCTCCGATGGCAAGACGATGAGTTTGGATCGGACACAGTGTCTAACAAAGTCAAACAACCCGTCTGAGCTTTCCACGCAAGACTTGGTCCCCAAAATACGTACCAGGCTTTCATGTGGGGGGCTGCTCAGGTATCGCCCAAGTGGGTGAGACATGAAGGCCATATTAATAAGGAGCCACTGCGACCTGATTCTCAGTCCTGACAAGGGCTGGGCTATATGGTCAGTTTGCAGCCTCCAAAGGCTTAGATTTTAACGCGTCGGGATAGATTCAGGCATGCCACATTGATTCTTAGTGAGGAATGGGCTGATGCGCCGTGGGGATGGGTTCCCGGTGTCGGCCTCTGTCCTCCATCTCCCATGTACCAGTCCACTGTCCGAGCCTGTCAACCGGCCGGTGCCGGAATTGGGCGCAGTGGCAGATGCAGCGTGGAGCGCCTACATGTGGGCGTCTCACAACAGTCCCCCCGCTCCGTGTGTAGGTAGTAGTTGTGAGCTCGCGCGAACTCTGCTTGGTTCGATTAACGTATGCCGTGATGCAGTCTGGCCTCCTTTTTAGTCAACATGCGTAGCATGTGATAACACCCATCTACGCATGACGCGGATGAGTCCTATTCTGAAATAATCGCGGTGCTAATTGCGCGCGATGGAGGGACTGTCTGGCATGCGGCTAGCCAACACGAGTTTATACCGTTATTCAGACCCCTTACTTTCCTTATCGCTTGAATCGAGCACAGGAACTGTACGGTCGACTCCCCCGTATTCGCGTGGATTAGGGACCACAGCTACCCGCGAATAGCTGAAGCCTGCGAATACTTGAGACCCATTTAAAACGCTTAGAGCTGTCTACTGGAATGTTCAAACAACAAATACACCTTAAACTATCGTCCTAAAATACACTAATACTGGTCGTTAAAAATTCTTAGACTACTGTTTATCATAAAAATGTATTTAGTTCCGAAAAAATAAAATAATTAGCGATTTTTTTTGCATATGCTCTACGAAAAGAAGAAATGCGCGAATGCTGAACCGCGAATGGGCGGAGGTCAACTGTATTCTGGAAATTCGCCGTCATTTTACTAAAAAAGGTTCTTTATAGGAAATGTCTGCAACCTGTGGGTTCGTACTAATTAACAGCTGCCAACAGCCCCCAACACGTGCGCTTCGTATCCTGTTGCGTTTTTAATTCTGCAGCACGAAAGCGAACAGAATCAGGTGATTTGTATTCTAATAATGTTCCCCCCGCTGACAGCTATACGACTATAGGGGAATACATAAAGATAGGAAAAAAAAACCCACCGCAAAGGTCAGTCACTTGTCGAACCGCAAAGGGGACAAATAAAACAGAACTTACTGGCAATACACCTTCCCCGACTGCTCATGTGCTGTCGTGCTGTCGGTGAAGGGGATGTGGCAGGACTGACAAAAGAAGTGGTCCGGATGCCAGAAGACGCCCATGGCCTCGAGACAGCGCTGAAAGGGGACAAAAATAAGAGGGCATAAACTTTGCAGACGGAGTGGTTCAGAAACCCGAACGTCAAGGGGTAAGTAATAAACAGAATGTGTTGCCAGCCTCGATTAGTTCGCACCTAACGGTTAACTCATCATAAGCAATAAAGACCACGACGATCAGCCAGTTGGGTGCAGTAGTGACTTGCGCGTCAGACTTCAGCGGTCGGTCTAAAATCTCACGGAAGTGAGAGTCGCCATAAGGCTCACGTTAAGTAGAAGCCCCCATGTTTGATCCTAACTTCAGTGGATGATCAAATTACCCCATCAGCAATTAACCCTCAAAACCACGGCTATAAGAGTTTCATGCTAGTTTCTAGTGCGTCGTGCTCACTGTGGTGAGAAATGAGCTCAGTTGGCACGAGAAGTGATACGTCAGGATTGGCCTCACTTCCTCTTCTTTGTCCCCCCCCCCCAGGTTCCAGTGGCCTGTACCAGCCACTCGGCCAAATGATGATGAGATCGGGCGTGATGGTTGCATGGCATAAGGCCTCAGTCTATAAAGGTGCTGCGCGGCACTAGTCAAGGACTCACACAGACTTGGGACAACCCAAATGACATACCAGAAATCTGCTAATAGAAACGAAGAGGCGGGTTCCAGGAAGAAGTCGCGAAGAAGGAGACACGATTGCTGCAACACCTGGGCAACTTACTCCCCCCCTTATTTGCCTCTGTCTCTGATGATGGATTCGAGTGAGAATCCGAAACGTTAGGCTTATAAAGCTCCTATACCAGGAATCATCGTGGATCCTGCTTGTACTAGCGCAGCAGTAAGGCGGCCAGTCTGGATGCCGCAGTAGCAGCTTGGGCCACTTTCTCGTGCGCTTACCTTACCTACTAGCGTAATCAGTCCAAAATTTGGATAGACATCTAATCATTGTAGTAAAGGTCACGGGCAATCGTGGGCCGCTGGTGATAATGATGGTGGTGAACGGTTCGGGATGAAGGGGGGGGGAGAGCGAGGGTTAGGGTGCGATGGTGATGCTAAGCGTAACTTGGATGCTGGTAAGAACAGGGCTAGTGGTTAAGCACCTCTGTGCTCCATCCTCGATTGTGAGGAAATGGATTGCTCTGAACAAATTTGCTACTAGTTGCACAATACGAACAGTTTATGAAACTACAGCGGTTTCAGAGTAGTTAGAACTGCATACGTTTTGTCGAGTTAATCCAGCTAGGAAACGAGGAGCATCACTTGATACCCTAGCAAGCTGATCCGTAAGCACCATATTCTGGTTTATATGGTCTGATGAGTTTATTTACTTGAAGTGGAACAAACTACGTTGTTCTGTAAAGCTGCGAGTTTACAGGAAGACGATAACGTAATAAAAGATCATGCAAGATGACTTTACGTCCAGAGGTGATTATTCGAAATTGGCGTGGCTGTTCAGATTGCACAGGCCTCATAAGAAACCGCGCAGCTGGCCAGCAAATATCCACAAGTTTTCGTCTGACAGGCAGGTGACTATGGAGTTCCGATACGCTTGATAGGCGCGTGCTCTCTTTCAAAAACGTATTGCAGAAAAAGCCGCAACCAAAGGAGTTAGGTCCGGTTTGGACCGCACACAGCACGTTTCTAGCAGTAGTCATGGGAATCTGAGAAAGTACACAGTAACTCATTTTTAAAGCAAAACGGCTTCTTTTTTTCCAATCGGACGGTTGTTGCAGTACGCAGCTGTTATAAGCATCCCCAGCCTAGATTATCGAAAAGGCAGAAATTGTTCTCGTTTGCAGTCGAGCATTGAGCCCAGCAGTAACCAAGGATCAGCCAGATCAAATTGGAGTCATGGATCTAAGCAACTATTCTATAAACAATGCATTCATTTGGAGGAGGAGGTTAGCATTAAAGAAACTAGAATGACAAATTAACGCGCGAGCCAGCAAAACATGTACCCGTGTAAATATGATCACATAGACCAATGTCAGGTAACGGCAGTTCGACCGTCATGACCGACGATGTCCACCGAGTGCTCCATAACAGGGCAAGAGCAGGCACGGTGATTTGCGCGTATTTTTTTTAATAGTGAATGTAGACTTTTGCAGCATCTACCGCACTCTCCCCTCCCCTACTGGGCCCGGTGTCAAGGCATAGTCAGGAAGATTGGAGGCGGGAGGGGGGTGCATGTGACTTGCATGGCGTAAATCCGCGCCTAGGCGTGTCGCCACACATCCCGGTCCACAACACGCACTTGACCAGGAGTTTAACTAACGAAAACAGTGGAGGGACGAGTGACAGGGATCCCAGCATACGCGATATGAGCCGGGAACTGGGCCTGACACTTGTTATAGGCGCGCATTCGCGATTACGCCTGCCAGAATCTGATGTGCCCCCCCGGTGTTGGTCCAGCACATCTACCGTGTGGTACCTTTAAGGGGCACAATGTCAGGTAACAAGGGGATGCTCACGGAGAGAATAGTTTTGGCGACTTACATCGACGATTGCCTCTCCACAGTAGGCGCATTTGGGCGCGAAGAGGGAAAGGTGGCACTCCGTGCAGTAGGGCTCCGAGTCGTGCTCAAAAAAGTCCTCATGGATGAGACTGATGCGGCAGCACGCGCAGGTAAAGTGCTCTGGATGCCAGACGCCACCCAAAGCTTGGATGACCTTGAATACAAAGCGGTCAAACACAAACTAAGTGCTTTCAGGAACATTTGGGGAGAGTAAAGTTGAAGGGCTGAGACTTATCTTCACTAAGCGTAGCTTGTCGGCACCATTTCCTGAATAAAGAGAACCCCTTTTAACGTCAGACCTGATAAAAAATTGGCAAAGCACAAAGAGCTAAGCTCGGTCGATGAACTGCCTTTCGAATGGGTTTACAAAGGCGACCTACGATGTGAGCAAATAGGAAACCACAGAACCAAATCAAAACTCTGCGGCATGCATATGCCAGTAAAAAAGTTCTAGTTTATGGCAGTTAGAGAACTGAAACCTGTGTTCTTCCGTAGTCATTGTTGACAATTTGTGAAAAATAGCGCATATACTACACTACGAGTTCCGTAGTTGCATAGGCTGGGAACTTGACCACATAAAATGCCTCACTTCAATAACGAAGACAGCCTTATATCTGGGAAGCTCTTTTTGCATAGCGTCATAGTTTTACGTCCTATGCACAGCATGGATTTGGCAAACACGTTCAAATGTTGTGAATCTACTCGTAAAAATTCCCCTCTCACAACTTTATTGTTTCCGTTAGCACTGTAAGCTTCTGTAGGAGACACGAGGAATTCCATCCGGTGGTCCGGCATGCTGCGTTTGGTTGAAAAAATCGTTAGACACGAAAGATCACACGCCTGGTCATCGCACATTACATGACACAAAGATGTGCATAACCACGATGAACTTAGACACGTGTGAAAAGAGTGGGACACCAACTCACGGAATGTGATGAAATAAATCTAGATTAGCGGTGCGGAACAAAAGTGGACGTTCCGGAAAATGATTTCTTCGAATGCAGTATATGCTTCGAAACAGTCCATAATTTTGAACGGGTACCAACGCCCCATAATATTTAAACTATTTCAAATAGAAGTTGCCGCGCGTGGCTGCGCGTCCTTCTAGTGAGGAGAATTATTCTGACGAGGCATAATTTACTAAAAAATCATAACCAACTTGAAATTTGATTTTTCAGTTCGTGTAAATTAGGTGAGGCAAGATGTGGGCAACCACATTGTTTTAAGGAAAACAGAAGTTTGTTCTCTTGCAAAAACACAGACCTGTGAGCATGTGCAATTTTATGTCCCAGAACGAGGCAATAACGCATACAGGCACCCGTAATTTCCAAACACAAAAATATTCAATAAGCAATCACGAAAAGGTCTATCGTCAAATGGCCATTTCAACATTTGCGTACAGAACAAGATGCGTCTTGCGTAGTCTAGTTCCTGGTAAATTACGTAATTTGGGAAAAGAACCAGCACAGTGTTCGTCGTTTGAGAAATATTTCACTACTTATATAATTACTACAGTGCATTTAGGGTAAAGAACAAAATCTACGCGTGGGAAAATGCAACAAAATGGCTAGAAGATGGAGAGCAAGGCTGGAAGTGTTGTTTGCGGAAAAAATGTTCCGATTCCTTCCTTGCTTTTGAAAAAAGATGAGGGACGTGTACAGTCATAATCGAAATAACCTAGTATGGAACTTAAAGAGATGTGAGATTTTTCGTTAATTTCCGCGTATCTGATGAGTCACGTCATCTACTACCTGCCAAGCGGATGTTAATCGGGCCACAATCAGAGGTTAAACCCCCAGAAATGGACCCTGTATGTGGGTGGAGGTCAGAAATTTTGGTCCAAAAGACAGAAACTTGTGAGACTCGGTCGGTCAGTTCAATATCCCTGACCATGAACCGGCCAAAAAGATCAGTTTTTGCGCATACAATTCTTGCTTGAGGGCGAAATCCGTGTTGTTTCTTCTACACGCGATTGATGGGCACCTGCAACATAAAATTCCCATAACAAGCTCTCCTGATATACAATGCCTGCACACAAGGAGGGTCTTGCAAACCTTCTAGTGTCAAAGACTGCGGTCCTGCCGTGTCAACGCCCTTTGACACACTTAGGGCACCTTAAGCGTTAACGTCACAATGTACGTTATCGGCACATCAATAGTCATACGACCCAGCCAAGTTTCCTTTAAAAATAGGCAAGAAGCTCAAGTTGGAATGAGCGAAGTAATTGCAACATGGCATACGTCGGTCAGTCCGCAAAACTTAAATCATCGAACACTTAAATCAGTGTTATGTCGAGTAAACGATCTCATGGAAGTTTGTGACTCCGGCTTGTCTGCAAAAAAGTTTTACTTCCTTCCTAAGCGATGCAACGTTAACGTTTGCTTTGCGAAACTGTGTTAGGCATAATGCGTGCTTCGAATTCACCGCATTAAATGAATTTATTTGTGTCAACTTGAGCGTTGTATTCGCCTTTTGGCTGCCCACCTTCCCAATGACCGGCTGGCCACATTGCAAACATGCAGCGCCACGGTAAAAATTCGTTCCGCCTAGTTGCTTTTGTGCGGCTTCAGCGTGGGGTGACTGTCCAACTAGACCATTGAAGCTGTTAGCTTCAGGGCTGCTGTCATTGGGTGTCCTCCTGCCTGGCATGCGGCACTCTTCATCTGTATCTTTGCCGGGCAACCGGATCGATGGATCGGGACCAGGCACCAAGAGGTCCGGATGGCCAACTTCCGGCTCAGGCGGTCCGAGGAGATCAATTGGTCTCTGGGCGAACGGTGCTCGCAGGCTGGAAGGACTCAGACTGGGCACTGTAGGTTGGGCAGGAGAAGGCGGTTGATCGACAACAGCAGACTGGTTCTGCATCTAGACGAGAAAAACAGTCCCCTGTAGTAGAAGGGAAAGAAAAGCTCCAAGATATTCAGTTGCAGTAAAGGCTGTCTACTACTACTACTACTACTACTACTACTACTACTACTACTACTACTGACAGTTCGACCATCGATTTCGATGATGTCCACCGTATGTCCCACAGCAGGTGGGAGCAGGGACGGTGGTGATGATGATGATGATGGTGGTGGTGGTGGTGGTGGTAGTAGTAGTAGTAGTAGTAGTAGTAGTCGGAGAACCTGGACTACTACTACTACTACTACCATCATCATCATCATCATCATCATCATCATCATCATCATCATCATCATCGTCGTCGTCGTCATCATCATCATCACCACCATCACCATCACCACCACCATCATCATCATCACCAGCGGCAGCAGCAGCAGCATCATAATTCTAATCATCATCAGCGTCATCATTGCCGTTGTCGTAGACGTCGTCATTGTCACTAACATCTTTATCATCTCCACCATTCCTGGCCAACTGGCCGCCTATGAAGAAACACCTCAAACCGTCAAGACCATCGTTCCGCACAACTCTGTAGACTACCAAGAGAAGGGCTTACGAAAGGGCAGGTAGTTTAAAGCTGAAAGAGTTAAAGAGGAATTATCTGGCACTGAATATTCTCAAAGGTGGCGGTAATGCAAAGAAACCACTGAGGAAAGCAAGAAATCAGGAGCGACAACGCTCGGTTTTCCGTATCTACCTTTGTCCAGTCAGTCAAACACTCTCACTTCACTGGGCTTTACGTCAAAGTTTTCAGTATGCTATGAAAGGCATGGGCCACTGATGAATGTTTTTAACAGTGTTTTCTGATGGATAGGAATGCTAGTGTCGGACTTCGATGCTCATTAGAACAGAAAGGTAAACGCCGTGGATTATCAACTTCGACTGAAGACGATCATAGATACTTAGGAAGATATCATTTGAAATAAAATTACTGAGACAGAGGGTGTTCATTTTCCACTGGCTGGTGATAAACTACAGTCAACTACGTCTAGTAGAGTTGATTAAGTGAAAAACTGATTGCATGAACGCTTGTGCGAAGTCGACAAAACAGAGTATCCGGAGAAGCAGAATGTTTTAGCTTTTTAAACAATCAAGAGCGCCTGCTTCTATGCTCCATCCACTCACACTTGCAAGAGGATCTTGCCGATTGGTTTAAATATGCGCCATATTTTCTTCGTTGTGGGATCTCGTCTGTACAAATGCAAACAGTACTAGGATAAGGCAATGCGGCAAAACACGCAGAATTTAACGGCTTCATGGATTTCGTGACCTACCGCTTAACTATGAACAGTCATTGTGTAGTTATATAACTGGCGGATCAACTCGAATACAGCCTAGGGCAATCAAACGGGAAAGACGCACAAACGGCACTCGCCTGCTATCCTGCATGGCCAACCTCCGCCAGGCCCTTCCACAGTGCTCATTAGCATTCCCAACAGTCGATGTACCTATCACGTTTTTTTGCTCTGGGCTGCATTTTTAATGAACTGCCGTTCGCAGTTAAAGAGGAGATCGAGAAACTGATTATGTCAAGTTTTGTCACGTTTAACGGGAGAAAAATACTCCAACTTCAGAAAAAATACTGCGAAAGCCATTTCAGGGAGCACGTTAAGCATGAAGTTCGAAATTAATGACAGATCATGTTTCAGAAATCCTACTGAGTACTCAACTTAGAAACTGCGCTGGCCATTAGTAATATCTTAAAATTCGTAAATAGTCGGAGTATCCCTCAGACACAACGGACTGCTGGGAGTGCGAAAGTGCATATGGTCAGAAGACTGCTCCGCTTGACAAGGTCGAGCCATCGGACTCCCAGGGATGATCGCTCCTCGTAAGGATGACAACGAGCGGCTAACAATGAGAATCAACCTGATAGGGAGAAACAAATCGCCTCTTATGGTGTTTTTTCACCTAAGTGCCGTAAAGATACTGAAGACAGGCCTAGTTAACTTTCTATACGCCGTCCATTTACCGGTGCTTCATTTCCCAATTCTCAGCAGCGTCATCAAATGGGAAAAATAGCAAGCTGGAGGGAAAATTTTAACAGTCGTCAAATCAGAAACTGAAAAAGTTGCGACCTCTACAGACCTCCTCTTCCCAACCTAAGGAAGGCGTCGTGGATGCACACGCTTCCATGCCACCGCCACGTACTTCAGTAATTGACAGAGGGAGACACCGCATGGGTGAATATTTGACAATGACGATGAGCAGAGTTGGATTTTGCCACCGACAACCCCTTACTCAGCTGGATGACGAAAATAAAGATGACTTAAAGCGAACAGCCCTTAGAGAGACTGAACAGCTGCACATCTTGCTAGGCAAAAATGGGAAACGTCTTAATACCGGAGTTAGGAAAACTGCAACACAAGTATACTCTAATCAGACTGTGAATACCATGAACCGGAGAGACGCTGGCTACGTTTCTGTAGCAGACGAAAAAGGATCTCAGGGCTCGTAGGACAAGGATGAGGGGAGGGATTCCCAGGTTGTTTATCGAAAACCAACTCAACCCCACATAGTAAGAATAAAGTCGATTCGTAAATATGCGATGCTGTGCAGACTATTGACAATTTGCGGTTGACGGTACAGATTCGAGGCAGTATTAAGGAGACGAACTGCGACGTAGACGTCTGGGTTTCCATAAAGCCGACTGTCACAAATACGCATATAATAGATAAGCATAATTCGTACTCGCAGCTGCCTTAGAGATAGCATCAGTTCGTCCAGCTGTCGACTGGCATGTTCCGCAGCATGCCGAGTCTCCGCCGACAGGTCTTCTGCAGTCCCCGCCTGATCTCCTGACGAAGCCGCAGTTCCGTGCGTTGGGACTCTGTAATTAGCAGAAAAAATTACGTATCACACTTCCGTCTGCAGACCTTTCCAGCGGTGGACCGCTTCGTCAATGTGCAAATTGTGTCTTAGCTAAAAAAACGGGCAGAGGGGATTTTAAATTACACACCAGCAGTTGCCCAAAGGCTGTAAATTCGGGGAGGAGAACACTTTCTGAAATGCCCACAAGCCACCACTGAGCTGGGAGGACGAATTTCGAAAAGAGCATTGAGGTGAAGTTTCTGTGCATGACGTGGAATGATAGATTAATAGAAAATAAAACCGTGTTAAAACTACAACAGCCAGGCGGAAGGCAAATACCGCTGTCATTGTCACGCTCAAGTAGGGTCTGATTGCACTGGCAAAATTGCCGTTAGGCCAACCCCTGTTTGCAAAAAGTGTCGTAATTACAGACATCACAGGACATTGAGAGGGAATAAAATAAGGGCGTGTTGCACTTTCTTTGGAAACAGATTTTTTTCCTCCCTGGGGATTCTGGATACTGCACTCCGAAACTGATTCATGCTGTTTCAAAGGAAAAACGATTACTTGCTGTTTCACGAGCGGGATTCAGTTTCACGTGGCAAAATCCATATTTTTCGTGTTAACAAAGATACTAAACTTGGAAAAACAAAATAAATGAGCTGAGCGGACTACCACTGTAAAAGCATAAGGGTAAAACCGCTTACAACAATATATACCTTACAAATGAAATGGCCACATCCAGTTAGTTTTGAAGTGCAGAGAGTGAAACTTGCAGGGGCATAATGAGAACTCCCTACACCTCCAATCCATGTTCACACGTTCACAACATGGCAGTCCTCCCAGGGTAAAGTACGCCCCTCAAACTGTAAGTATGAACAAGGTTCAACTGGCAAAGACCGCGTGGCGATTCCGCCTAAACTGCAAAGTAACCACATTTCATTAAGCTAGATTAAATCACAGCGCGCGGGTTGCGTTTTCTCCGTGCAAGAAAATCGTATGAGGTCTGGGAGGATTCTCGCGGAGAGCAAAAACGACATGGTGTACGAGACGGCAGGATAAACTACTACATGCTCATCGGCACCGCAACCGCAGATGAGTAATATTTCCAAGTTTAACACATATTTAGTGAACTAGGTTAAGAGTTCACGCGTTTGGGGCTATGGTTTCCGTCAATAAGCAAGCGAAGGGGTGGCAGCGGTCAAACTGCTGATGCAAGGCCTTTAATCGAACGGGATCTTTTGCCCACCCCTCAATTAAGTGCACCTGACACGGTTACTTGCTCAACTCAGCCTTTTTGCCAGTTTAGCCTTCCCCACAAATGCTTAAATAAACAGGGTTAGATTCTAGAGCAGAAGGCCTGATAATTCAGAGAGCGCGTAATAGGGACGCTAACTCACGCTTAAATCCGAAAACTCTGCTAAAGCCTCTGGTTCTGGTAAACACACCCGTGATGCATTAACAGGCAGTCTATTGATTAGTAAATCGATATTCATGGCAGCATTTGTAGCACTACCAACAGTATGACATAGTCTATAAAATGCATGGAAGATGTTCACTTGTGGCCAAGTCGAACTGTCACGGGAAGTCTAAGATAAATAAAAAACAGCCCTAACTTTTTATGTTGTCATTCCTCTTGAGAAGTGAGTTGAAAAAATGCGGCATACACACTTGGAATACATAGTTCGGGATCATCCCGACTTCGCTTCTCTACCATACAACGGTGACAAAATATACCGAGCAGGCATCGAAATGATGGTCCATTATGCGTATTGCAACCAGTTTTAGTGCAAATTTAGGCGTTTTTACAGCAAAATAAGGGTTTATAGCTTTCCTGCTCAACTATTTCAACTTCAGGTTTGCATGAATAACGAAAACATTAAGCATTCTGTCATCATCACACATCTTAACATGGTGGAAAATTGCACCCTCGACGCTTCCTGCTGGCACGACCAACACAAATGGGAGTTAGATACTTCTTCACTGGCAAAAGACTGGCATGAAAACGGTCGAAAGTGACCCCAGACGTGATATATCTTCTTGCTCGAAAAACTAGGTAGATACTAAAACTGCGGAGTATACTGTGATTTACGGGCAGAGAGCAGTACCGCGTCTAATTACGGATACCCGAGGATTAATGATAATTTCGCTGAATCGTACTTTCCTTAATGTTCACCTATCAGTAAAGTTCATAAACTGAGTGTGGAGAGTGGCACCCAAAATGCTGCAGAATGACTTTATTATTTAAAGTGAAATTTCCGGTTAGCAGGGGTAAGCAATTTGTAACCGGAAATCAAACGTAGATTCAGTTTCCACGACCCAGACTTAGAACAACAGTCGACGGGATGGCAAGGCCATATTCTCGGACAAAAGACGAAAACAGTTACGGTCAATGGCATTACTTGATATGGGGAACCAAGATTTATATTTCACGAGGGTCCAGCTTACGGCGACCGTCCGGCCGATTTGGCTCGATGTCTGTGCGACAAACTTTCAATCACCGCTTTCTTTACGATCTTACAACAGCCTTCTTAGTGAGGAAAGACGTCTCCGTGTAACTTGTACGTGTCCAAAACTGAAGTATAACTTTCAGAATGACTGAGATGGAGAAGTACCGAAGTTAATACCACAAAATGGGATAAACGACCAATCCAAAACCTCTTATTTGATCAGCATTTAAAATCTCCATAGGAGCATAAAACTTCAGTAGCTCTCCGAGGGTAATGCAGTAAGAAAACCGTCCTGACATGTTAGACTTTGTTTTTATAGGCTAGGCGAAAGGGCCTTCTACGTTGACTATCGAGGCAGCTAATAGTCAGCTGAAGGGAGGATGGACCATTAATCTAGGTAACACTATTAGTTTTCGTGGGATCAAATGGCACAAATGAGCTCCTGGTTTTGGGCTTGACAATAAAGGATGTCAAACTACTAATCTGGCAAATGTTAGAGTGACTTTGGACTCGGTTTTTCAGAGTCGACGAGAAAGATTGGCGAACATACAAATCAAAGCTGAAATAACTGCGTAATATCAATTCTACCAGTATTATAATTAGGTCCCACCATACTTTGGATACGGACACTAGTCAAAAGTCGACATGACGTTTTGTCGGGCACCTTACCGCAGGTTATTCACCCAATAAACTGTAAAATTATGGGTTTAGCATCAATATCTGAAGTTCATAGGCCAGAAGTCGCGCATACGACTGGGAGACCCAGTGACGAGGCGAACCCTCGCAGCAGCAGAAACATCCACAAAACCCGTGCCGGAGTTTTTATGTGTGGTGGAGCCATTCCTATTGCAGGACGCTTCCAGACCTATGATGAACACGTACATACCTTCCCGAATAAATTCGCCATATTCACTCAGTATGGCGGGCTACGCTTAAAAAACACGATTTTCATGCCGAAAGTTGTACGCCTCAAAAGCGCACCGATGCCAGTCTGCTCACATAATTAAGGTCAGTTTGTGAAAAGAAACAGAGGACGAACAAGGCCATCAGGCTCATCAATGTCAGGATCTGGGACAACTTATTCAGTCGTTATCTTTGACAGCGCAGTCATATCTTACACACAATTTGTATTCAATACTTTTTATTGTTTCCCTTAGATTTCTGATGAAAAATATGCTTTTTATCATTTTAGTAACAGCATAAATTTCGTATCTGAGTGGACGCCACGATACGGGACTTTAAATATACTCCTTTTCGACCGCCTGTAAAAACCACACTTGGTGCAAAAACGACTACTTATACGGTAGGGTTTTCCGATTGATTTTCGATGCCCTTATAAATTTACATATATTTTGTCGAAAATATGCATGAAAGTATTCTTTTGTGTACACGTTTGATAATAAATTACCTCTTCTTCAAATTTCGCACTCAAAAAGGATATCTTCTGGTTGTTGTAAGCTTTTTTCAAATCCCAAATAAGTATTTTGGCAGATTTCGAATAATTCATATTGACCCAATTGTGAAAAACTCGGCGCTTCGGTGGGTTTCGAAGCCACACAGCAAGGAGAAGGCTGTAGTGCAGCCAACGCTCTAACCACTTGAGCTACGAGGCCCCGCCGGACGACGCGAGTTTAATATTGACCCAAATGTGATTAAACTCGCGTCGTCCGGCGGGGCCTCGTAGCTCAAGTGGTTAGAGCGTTGGCTGTACTACAGCCTTCTCCTTACTGCGTGGGTTCGATTCCCACCGAGGCGCCGAGTTTTTCACAGTTGGGTCAATATGAAATCCCAAATAATTTTGAACACAACCTAAGGCTGCCCTTGCATTGCGGGTTATAAATTACATACTGTGTACCTGCCGTGTGAGGAAATCATGCGTCTTTCTACCTTATCATCAAGATGTGATATAGAGCTCATATAATTTGGCAATGGACTACGTGCTACATTAATCCATGGTCCTCATATCTCGGGATATGTGTCAAAGAAAATTCGTCATTTATGTAAATTCAAAGTTTTTCCACCGTACAAACGTCATTTAGACACATGATTGGGCAGAAAAGTTTGTCTTCATGTGCAAAAAATGTCAAAATTTCCCACTTTTAGTGCTGTCTGAGGATGAGTGGGTAAACTGACGCCCTGCTACCAGTCCATCCTTCACAACTCGTGATCCTCCGAGTTCCCCGTATAAGACAGAACATTTTGAGCGGAATTTACTAATAGGCTGAGGTCCTGCCAAGAGAACAACGCTTCAGTTTATAGAAAAAACACTTTGCAAAAAGGAATGGTTCACAAAACTCCGACCGCGAGCGCAGTAACTTCAGAGTTAAGGTCGTAGGACAAACTGGTGCTAAAGCTGGAGGCGGCCTAAGCGACTCGAAATACTGGACCACAGCGACCACCGTTGTCGCTGCCGCATTTGAATGAGGCCTTTGAGGAGTGCTGCACTTTGGATTCACCAAAGCCGAACTGCTGTAGTCTGAGGTGCCCTTTGAACAGCTGCCATCCCGCACAAAAAAGTTCAATGAGTAAGGCCAGCAGAATGCGCCCTGAGCGTGTGTGTGTGTATTTTTTCGTCAGCAGTGACTACAACATCCGCGCAAATAGCTCTCCGAATTCCAGACGAAACGCAAAGACTAGGTGGTACACACAGGCGACAACAAAAAAACCGCGGATTACCACGCCCAACTGTGCCAAGCGTAAACAGACATATCTCGCAAAAACAGGTAATGAGGTTCAAACAGTGGTTTTTCTGAACGCTAATTGGAGGCGGAAAGGCGAGACAGTTCTGTGTGTGGACAGAATGCATGCTGTCGGCTAGGTTTGGCAGATTTATTCCCTTATTCTACGATAGTTGCAGGGGATTCAAGCACCGAGGAGCCTAATCAAAACCTCAAACGATCAGGTCGAATATTTGTGTTAGTAACCTTCGAAAGCTTCCACACCTGGGAAAGTGAAAATTCAACTTCTGGTGAGGGAATTGGTTTTCTAAAGCGTGGCTAGTCAGAGAATTAAAAGTGAGATAGACTTAGATGCTGACGCAAGGTAGAAGATGATGGGCAATTATCAAATAGTCTTATTTCATGCACACTTTTGCCCACGTCTGGGTCATTCTATAAAGCTGACGTTTGAAAGTTCACATCAGCATTTTAGCGCTTCGATTTGATCACGACGTACATGATGTTTCAGAGACTTGTGTCTTGCACCAAAAAAGTAACTTAAAAACACCACGCACGCTTCAGAATGCGTTGCCACTTTGCAGCTCCAGCAACCGCAAGTGAACGCATTGACGAAAACCGAATACACCAGGTTTTGTCTGGGTCAATATAAGTTTGTATCCCAAAAACACGCTCTAGAAATTGTTTAGGCAGTCCAATGACGGGAACAAGGGATTCATTTGTAGTCGTGAGACAGTCATACCTCAGCCTCTGACCTACAAGACCTGGACGTGGAATCAAAGAAGTTAACTGCAAAACACTCCACTGCGCTATAAACATTCGGCCTTAACACAATGCATTTTATGCGTAAACATACGGACGAATAAAGATCGCATGGCCGACGGTGGAGGACTAAAAAGGCAAGATTCTTTGAACTGCCGCATAACTGCGAAACGTGAGCAAAACGCAGGCTATGTACTTCGGCCGACGGCCTTTACGCCCCACTGTCTGGGTAAAATGTTTAGGCAGCTGTTGACCCAACAAACGATCCCAGTATAGGAGCCCGCCGCTCCTCCCAGAGGAGCGTAAGGCACCTCAAGGAATGCTGACTTCTGCCTTGCCGCCTGTGCTGATGGGAAGGCCAGCAAGTCGCACAGCTGACATTACGGTTAGTGTAAATGGGTCCGACATATTCTACCACTACCTCGAAAGGCAGAGCACGTAAAATGGGCGACGCTAACATATGCAACCCTACCGACTGTTCTACACATCTTAGTGCGAATTTCGCCGAGAAATAGCAACCAATCAAAATATGAGTGAATCGGTTTGGTCTTACCAAAAGGAGGGAGAGTTAGATAAATTCACAAAGGTATCTAGTTAAACCAATGGACAAGTTTTATGCACTGCCAAGAGGGGAGAAATGTGGATGCAAAGTGCACACGACGTCACTAGGTTCAAGGATGAAGGTTAGAACTGGTAATCTCCGAGGGCTCAACATAACTGCAAGTATTAACAGGAAACACAGTAGGAAAACCAATGAATGGCGGAGTAGGACCTTGGACGAGAGAAGAACTAATGTGTCGCCACACTAAACTTGTAGAGCTTGCTTTGCATAGCATGTTCAGAAAAGCACTCATAAGTACAAGAGATCAGTCATTCGAAAGACAGGCAACTAATGGAATAAAGAGTACGAACTCTCCAAAAATGTAAAAGGTCATGCGATCGAAATAGCCCTTTTTCTCGGGTAGACCTTAGCTGTGTAAATAGCCCGTTACGGCGTTCTACGCGCTTCAACCTTATATAAAACAGTACATTATCCTAAAACAAATAAGATAAGCATCAAAAAGCACTGTTAGAAAGCGCTTCATGACGGGAATAAATGATGAGTTTTGCAAGTTCGCCCCTCGGGATAATGATCACACGATTCCCAGAAGACTAGACATTCCCTTATTTAAAAGTTAAAGTTAACCATCGGCAGACTTTTAACTGCCGAGTTAAATTACACCACATAGTAGAGAATCCAGTAGAAAGCACGCGCGGATAGGAAGGCCAAGGAGCGAAAAAGTAGGTTCTCTCGTAGGTCGCAGTCGGACGCCGAAATAAGAGCTACGTTTTAGTTCTAAATCTCAGTGGATGGTCTTAGGTTTTAAGTGCTTATGCGAAATTACACATGTCAAATCCCGACGTACTGTGAATCCAATTTTATCTTTGCCTTGAAATCTGAACAGAAGCCCATCGACTGTGAGACTGCCGCATCAAAATAAAGATGTAGAATCAACAGTTTGCTAATTGCAAATTTGGAGTTGGCGACTAGAACACGTAAACGGCCCAGAATGAATTTTAGACCAGAAACACGGTTTCGGAAGACTAAAAGTTCATCCGAAATCATGAGTAGTTTTAAGTTTAAATACCGAAAAACGTTGCCTGCTTACTAAAGAAAGGGTGTCCAGTAAGTCCAACAAGGTTGAAACGGACACTCTTCGTAAGGCCGGAGAGTTCAGGCATTTGTATTACAAAACGTCCGGTCGCAAAACCGCCACTGATCTCTGATACAAGTACTAGCCAACCCAAGCGCTGGCAGGCGTCCGCTAGAGTGTGACTGGGACCTTAAATGTTTCTATTCAACTCATTTCCATTCATGGGCTATTCACTTTTTTCTGCTGTCTCAACTACTTCATGTCCTTTATCTTTAAATGGGACTATGTGTCGTAAGAATTTCGGTATTGTGCACAGCTCAGTTTACTCATTCAGAAGACGTGTGTTTGAAGCTGACAACGCATCTGCGAAATTAATCGTACAAGCAAGTCGATATTATAAAAGGCAAACAGTGAAGTCTTCAATGCCAAATTGTCATTAAAGCTGATCACTTCGGTGAATTAAACTAGCAATAACGGCGGAAATGACGTCTCCGCCTGCCTGGTCTCAATAAATCTTGCGTTTCCTCTGTTCACGCACGATGACGGCGGTGTAGATTTCGTGGAGCCACTGAACCGGAAATGATCAGTTGGAAAAAATGCGCGAACTTAGCGCGATTGCGCGATATTATGAGCAAACGCAACGCCTAGGGCCCTGATTAGGTGAATTAATACACCATTTTGTGGAATGCTCCCAAAATTAACGATAAACGATGGGTGGGAGGAGCGGAATCGGAACTCTGTACCCCTCCTCCCGTACTACAGATAATCTCGCGGTAAATTCTATGAGGGTACCAAATCCCAACTCCCTAGCCCTAGCTCCAGCCCTAACCCACCTCGAATTTTGAGCAAGGCCGCCCGTAATGCGGCTGTCCATATTCCCGTGCCCAGACAGTGAGAAAGCAAGAGCATTTGAGACACCAGATGATGCTGGCAGGACTAAGTTGATTTACTTACTCAGTACTACACTCCCATCGGTGATTGCTCATGGCTTCGTATGGCGGAGCTGAAAGGAAAAAACAGTCAACACATTAGGCATTCATTGGGAAGGCCAGCGGGGCCGAAAAAGATTATAGCGCCATTATTACACTGACCACGTTTTCTTTCGGTACTAGCAAGACACGTCTGTCCTATTTGCTCAATCTGTCGTGTTGTATTCTGTCTCCCTATCCCAGAATTTGAACGTACACACACACACACACACACACTACTAGGCGGTCCCACCTCTGAGGAGATGGCTTCCTGCTCGCAACGCAGCCAGCGTATCCTACCAGCGAGTGCAGAGAAGAGAACAGTGGAGGGAGGGCGGTGGGCGATGACGACGCAACGCCCGTGTCTGCTGCCCTGATGACTAGTCGCACTGTCTGTGACGACACCGCGACTAGTCATCTGGGTTTTTAAGGTGGGGCCCACGGGTGCGTGCGTTCGTGAGCCCAGCGCCAGAGCGCCATGCGCGAGTCAAACGCCCGAGCGACGTCCATCATCAGTCTAATCGACCCCACCTTCGGTTATTCACCCGGAGGAAGAACCATCGCCCTCCTGATCACAGCGGCCATTCTAGAGACGACCAATGGGAAGTGAGGAGAAGACCCGTGTTAGTTTAGTCGACGCCATGGATGTCTAAGAACGCCGTGATAGGATGACGTGGCACAATCAGTTTTCGCCAAAACCTTAGACAGTTTACTTCAGGACACGAAGATGACACACACACGTAAATGAAATGATCACTGACTCCTTAGACGAAAATCCATCGTCCACCTGGGCACAATTTCGAAGCGCCCGTGCATGGGTAGATAGCCAACTTCAGCGAACGGCAACTCTACGAATTCGGCGCATAATCGACGCATAATTTATTTTCAAACACTAGCTGATAAGGTCTGTCGGGAAGCAAAAAACAGATAACAGACCACTATCAGACAACTGACAAAAGCGCAAATCACATGTACAGTATTGACCGGAAGTAAGATGATTATTCTCGACAGGGAAAAAATCTCCTACGGACTAAAGGTGGCAATTTTAAGAACTCGAGCTACTGTTATGCAGCATTCAGACATTTGGGACTATAACGCTAAACTATGAAGTGTTGTCTTCAAGAATAAAAATGCCGAGGGATGGCCGCCGTCCATCTAGATGGGAAAGCGGTAGTCGGTGAGAGTAAGAAGAGTGGCTAGGTAAAACGGAATGGGAAATCAAAACAGTCGGGTTATAAAAACGCGCCCTCTTCAGGCGAGTGACAAAGTGTACGTTTTTAATGTTCAACAGCAACAAATCATCCGAAGGATTAAATTTGCTCGTGAGAGTAACTTCAAATGATTTACAACATTTCGCAGTCTAAAATTATTTTATAGGTGGGTCAAAATCGTAGAAACTAAGGCGATTTTCGCTGAAACAGTTCCCTAGCCACATCAGACAATGCAGGAATCGATAAATCCTATATCAGTTTCCCCGACTCACCCCTGCCCTATGACTTTAGGATTGGGTGACCACTACTACTACTACTACTACTACTACTACTACTACTACTACTATTACTACTACTACTACTACTACTACTACTACTACTACTACTGTGCACGCCTGAGAAATTTCACTTGAGACAAATAAATCTAAGAAAGGACGAAGACCAGTCGAGCACCGGGCCCGTTTATTTGTTTCAGCTTTGAAACTCGAGCTTGAGTTCAAAGTCAGGGATAAAAGCATCAGCAAAACATGCGACAATTTTAGTGAGTATCAGCCAATCAACGGTGGCGCATGTACGGAGGTGATTATGGCCGACAGTTGTGGTACAGTGCCCATTTTTCATCTCTGATGGTAAGTAATCAACCAAAGGATCGGATTCGTTCGTAAGAGCAATCCCGACTGATGAAACTAAAGCTACTTTCTGCCAAAGCAGAGATCTACAAAGTTAAGAATAGTTCCCCCAGCCAACCTCGGCCCTTCGACCTTCAGGCTGAACGATACTACTAAGAGTACTACCTTGCGCTTGAGAAAGTCCGCTCAAGACAAATAAGTCTTCACTGGCATCCGCCCTCAGGGGAATGCGCCGAACTTCTGAACGCAGGTTTTGACTTCCAGTAGACTTTCGAGGTGAAATAAGGGTCGAGGTTAAGCGCACCTCATCAGTTATTAGACCATACATAAAGGCAGGCCACTTTATACGAAGCAATTGGCAAGGTTTACTGTGTGCTCAGCCTTGTCCCTATCTGCCCTGCAGACAATGAGCACTATGTATGTGTATTTGGGGGCTTTGACTTTTGATGAGACCAAAAAACGTCTACTTGGAAACAATTGACCAGCCTCCTAGATGACAGGTAAAGGCAACCTGGGGGAGTTCTGTACACAGCAGCTGCTGATTATATACAACACGAAATCACACAGGTTTCAGGGTTAGGAGAAAGTCGCTCGAGGGAGGGGACCACAGAGCTACAGTGCCCTAAACTTGTTCGACTCAGCTCATCAAGGTTTATCCATTGTCAGGCGCTGCAAACTTGAGGAATGTGACATAGGCCATGAAATTTCCGTCAAACCAGAGAAACTTTTCAGTTCATTTTACGGCGGCTAAAGCCAAGTAGTTGTGGGCAAACGTCAATTCTACTGAAAAAACCGAAAATATTTGAACTGGAGCTAGAGAAGACCATTAAGTTCGGGTAGCCGCAGGTTTTCAACGATAATTCGCGCAGAGGAACCACTGACAAAGAACTGTGAGTAAGGTTTCGAAAAGTGCTAGCTGGTTGTAATAGGAGTTAGGTTAATGCGTGGGTTCGACAAACAGAACACAACAACGATGCTGCTGACTGGGATAAAAGCTTGCGGAGTTTCCTGGGGGTAGTCTACTCCGAGTTGGACGGAGAAGTCAGGACGATTTCAAAAACCCTCCCTTCCTCACCCAAAGACAAAGGATCGCGACGACAGCAGTGTCATTAACTTGATGGGGAGAGTGGATCGGGGCCTGAGGGAACGGCTACTTATTGAATGACTAAAGAGCTTTTTAAGAACTGGCGTGACGGAGGGGGCGGGAAATTATTCTTGTGGCTGACAATAAAAACAACAGGTGGCAAAAACACAACTAGGATCGAAATGAGTCAGTTCTTTTGAATGAAAAGCATGGTGGTTTAGCCAACAAGACTAAGGCCTATCTTGCCTTCATTGCTTTTTTTTCTTTTCCCAGTATTTAAGCTCAACGACCGGTCGGTAGGGCAGAAACCCGCTGCCAAATAAGAACTCTTAGTCTGTAATCTAACTGTGTATACGAACATGCATCTTACCGGCCGCCTCCATGGGGCCTGATCTCCCGCAATCTCCAACATGACTCTCTGAATGCCGCGACACCTTTGAGTGTCTGCAGTTGGTGATGGTGGGGAGAAAAGTAGGCAAGTGCGTTATAATGGAGGGCTTCGCACCGGAAGAAGAGAGGCAGAAGTTCCTGGCAATAAATCAACTGACAGAGGCACTCTGCCAAAGAAAGAAATGGTGGCGCGCTTAATTTGGGCAGCAGAATTGCCGCCGGCCCCTGCACGGGGCGAACGGAAGTGAGATATTTCATCCTATTATCGGCAACCTACATAGACGGAGCGCTCCCAAGTGCATGGCGTTTGGAACTCTTGCACTTATGAAATGCCTCCAAATCGTTTGAAATATCATCCAGATGTTGCTGAATAACAACCAGAAACAGTCCTCTGAATGCATCGCTGTTTTCCGCAAGTGCCTCCTTAACAGTGCAACAGAGGTGCTTCAGCCATTTATTCGGACCAAATGTGGAAGAGAAGAAACAGATTGCATGCGTTTATACATACGAAATTACATCGCTCACGGGAGTCTGTATTCAGCTAAATTGGAGCAAGACTGAGAAGGTGGTCTACGTTTCGGACAGAAAACTGGACGGCATATCGGCTGCAAGTCCAATCAACTGGTCTAGTATAGGCCACGTCTGCCTCGACGCCGTGAGAATTCGTTGTAAACACTGGAAGGGTGGATTATGGAATGGCGGGTGTTTCGGAGGGGGGGGGGGGAGAGGACTTTATCACCGAACAAAAATGTTCTCTTAACTTCTTGGCCACAACCAGGTGTGGTTCTCCCTGATGTGCAGTCCACGTTACTCACTTCCACACAGCGAAGATGCCAAAGACAGAATAAGCTATTGCCGATAAAATTTCCTTAGTAAACCACATAACAAGCCAACAGCCTAACACTAGTAATTATCAGCTGGCACAGAAGTTACGTGCTGGAAGGCCGCGATCACACATACCGTGCAACAGAATGGACTACAATGGGTGGCATGAGCAACACTCGAAGGAGGCCAGAGAAAGTCCGAAAGACGTGAACCAAAAGAGGAGAGCCCAGACTTCGAGGAGCACCTCACTTAATGGTGCGCCAGTGAAACCAGTGAGGAAAACTTGCCAATGGATCAGTGCTAAAAATCAATTCAAAATAAATGGCTAGAAGACCGAGTTATGAGAATCTAAAAACAGTAGATGGTTGGTTTTCTCATACATGCCATGAAATTCGGAGGAGTACGTGAAAATACTGGTACCGTGGGCACCAGACTCTGACACTCAATATGTCTTCCAGAATCGTGCGGTAAGTCCAGTAAATATAACCTCCATAATACTGATGAAGCAGAACTACTTTATCGTACCCCACCGGTGGAGTTTTCAGCAAAAAAAACATGCAGTAATGTTAGGCTCGGGAAAGGCCTTGGATCGCGCAACCGTTTTATGCCTGCTTAAATATCTTTGGAAACGATAAAAGAAATATGGTCAAAAGCCTGGACGTTAAACTTTAATGCCCCAAGATGCCTACAACAGATATCTTGTTCGTTCTGTATTATACAATAAAAAGAACGAGTGGACGGTTTTGGATATTTCTAAAAAAGGATTGCGGACTCAAAAAGACGATTCAGTTAGCGGAAAACTTCCTGGGCCAAATAAACAGGTGAGGCTGAACACAGTGAGGAAATGGCTTCTTTTGATTTCACCTCCTTTACGTCATACCACAGACCCTCAATGACGGGATTTTCAGTGGTCTGCTTCGTCAAAACTACGGTGAAAGTGACGTCCAGCTCACAACTCAGGGTCTCAATGAGCTCTTGGACTACTGTCCCAGAACATGCCTCTCCCTCGATGTGACCACGTATGAACCAACCAAGGGTACCCCGACGGGTTCACCAACTTCCGAGTTACTGTCGTGACGTTCCACCAAAATCTTGAAAGCACATTCTAGGCGCGAGAATTCAAACGTCGAGCTAGTTACGTTGACGACATCTCTCTCAATGCTTAGTGGTGTAAAAAATGACTTAATTTCCGGAATCACAGTTCCTGAAGATAGAAAAAAAGAGGACGGACTTCCGTTCCCCGTCGTCACGCCCACCTGCAAACCCGGTGGCATATTGGTGACAGCGCTATGGACGAAACCGATAAACACACTGTAAATACAAAGCTACAACAACCGCCGCTCGCCGCAGTACAAATGAAGCTGTATACATACGTTACAGAGGCAAACGGAAATTCATTGCATTATCCCAGTCGCCAATGGAGACGAGATCAGGGGCCTCTGGGCTCTCTGTTCAGAGCTCACATGTATCCGCGGGGATTCATGAAGAGAAATAGACCTGCCTGAAAGAACTGGAAAAAAAGAGTCTAACCAGTGTAGACTACGACGGGGCATCTCCTGAGGCGCGTCTTTGACACCGTAGCTAGATCCTTCACGTCACGCGGAATAGGAGTCGATCACAGGCCCGACTCAACACTCTGAGGAAAGTTGATATGACCGAAAGACTCGTTCCCCAAAAAGGAGAAGTCACCGGTCGTCTGCCGACTTCCATGAAGCTACGGAGAGGGCAACTGCGTCACAGAGGCCATTCGACAACGGCGAACCCGTAGACACAAACACCAATTGACAGCCTGGGGGTTAGACCCGAAACCAGAGGTGGCAATGCATGCCACGTAGGTGGAACATATCTTTAGATCTAACACCACTGCGGTTGTGGGACAAGGCGACGATCACACTTCGAAACACGTGCAAGAAGTCTGGACGTCGACCGCCGTATAAGCTTGCCCGTGCTCTACCTACCGTTGGACATCTACTCTACAAGAGGCGATTAACGCGTGAGATCGTCAGGGCTGTCAACTATTGAAGTGGTCGAAAAGGACAGGTGTGACAAAGATTACGGCAAAAAGGGGATCTATTTCGTATCCTCGGTCTGCCTTGCAATCAATGCATGTGGCACAAAGCGCTTGCAGCCCGGGCGCCATATAAGGAGAGTTGTGCACTGGAATCCCCAATCTTTGAAGATGAGAAGTCTACTTCGGAACCTGAAAGACTAGAACGCGAATAGGCTTCTCTTACTGGGAATCTCTCCCTTGTATAACATTCGGGCTTGTCAGTCGTCTTGTAGGTCCTTTTCAAAAGCTGCGGAGTAATCTAAGATCCTTGAACTCCGTAAATACAATATTTATATTGAAACCTAAAACCTGTTGGACTTAGTTCACAGTCTAATTGCGAAGTCATATGTGCGCTACCAGTAATACTGCATCGCGTCTGAAAGTATTCGAATCTCGCCTGAGTCGAGATTTGGTGGCTCGTAACAATATACTTATTATCGGTTATATCTACTGAAAGTGCCCCTCACTTGAGCTCTAATCCGGCTGTAAATGGCGGTTTTGTGACCGTTTTTAAAAGACAACAGGGACACTGTCAGGGGAATCTAATGAATGCTCTCAAGAGGCCGACTTGGCAAGCATTGAAACTCATGGGAGTGTTCGTCACCACCAGTGATAATCTACGGTCCCAAGCAGTTGGCATTCACTAGATTTTTTAGGTACATTGGTGACAAAACAACATAACAAGGCATACTGCATGAACATTTCGTAGTTTGCAGCCTACTCAAGTCAGAAAACCTATCTTCAGGCGCGCCTGTCCTCACGGCTTGATGACTTTGTTAGCGAAATCACACAATGCCGCAGACATCCGCGGCGCGTTTGTGTGCAGAGGAAAGCGCACCCTCTCAGGCCAGTTTAAATTAAGTCAGGAAAGGAAAGTAGGAAACAGAAGGGCAATGGTGTTGGGAGAGTCAATGATGCTTTAATTTCGTTAATCTTGTCTTGAGCCCACTATGGCGTAGTTGAATCTAGCAACTGACGCCATATTTGTGTGGGGCGTCACCCCTAACAGAGAAGGGAAGGCAAGACAAGTAAAGGGACCAGCTGCTATCGGGCACTCGAACACCACTGAATCTTTCTATTACCACTGCCGAAGCTGGTTTTCGAATTTTGTTGGTCCGCATACGCATCAATTTTGCAACTCAGCCAACCAGTGCGCGCGCAAAAAAACACATCGTAATTGGCTCAAAGGTACTTCGAGAACACAACATCGCGAGTTTGTGCGCAAGCAAGCATGCCTGCCCGTACTTTTCGGGTCAGCTTGAGATGACAGGAAAACGTGACACGTTCGGCAACAAAACCCACGTTTGGTACCTACACACGGTCATCAAGAAAGGTCATCTAGGCCCTCCCTCTCTCTCTCTTTCTGCCTCTCTGAGGACAGTTAGTCAGGAGATTATGCAAATTTGGAACTGGGAGAAGAGAGTATAGGCGAACATTGGCCTGCTCGATGGATAAAGATTAGCCTTTTTTCAAAAGTGTGAATAGGGCCCTGAGGGTAGACGTAGTAGGCCTGACCGCTGAAACAAAAGCATCATTAGGTGATTTACCAAAAACACAGGGAACATCCGTATTATTTGAGGGCTAGTAAAAATTCTTGCTACAACAGATTACTGAAACCGAAACTCCTCCAGGACAGCAACGACCACGGACCTCCCCCACCCCAACCCTTAATGACGTCAGATTCTTCGCTTAGAAAGTTGGGAAAGGCAGCCCAAACAGTCGAAATTCCGTTATTCTGGGTACCAGGCATACCTAGTTTTTAGTCCCACACCTAGTCAGCTGGGATTGTGATGGCAAAGCTCTTCTGTGTGTGATATTCGCGCTCCCTCAGTCTGCATTAATAAGCGTTTTATTTGCTCAACGCTCTGAACGGGTTCATACAAGAATCTGAGGTTAGACACGAAACAAAGCCACGCGGACATGCGCAAAGACTACAATAGTTACAGAATGAGATTGTTATTCAGGCCCATCCATCGCTTGAGTCACCTACCACCGCGCCTTCATTGCGGGTGTTCCTATTTGGTGCAATGATAGCGCACTGACATGAATTCAGAAAATCAAGCGAATAAAGCTATTGTTTAACGACCTGACCAATTTATCATAAATTGCTACCCGGAATTCCTCTCCCAAGTTTCAAGAGCCGACAGCTCATTCAGATAGAGAAGGAAGAAGAATAGAGGAGCGAGAGGCCGGAAGCTTTGCAAGCCCGCCTGTCTGAGGGGCACTAGTAAAGTGAAATTGAAGAAGTAGCATGCAAGCCCATACACAGTGAACGGTTATTTTAGACGTTCTACCTCCCACCTAGTCCGCTCCACGTGAATGCTGCTATCTGCACGAGCGCGAACGGCAGAGAACATGCACGGGACGACGGCTCTTCATAGCTAAAAGTGCAAAAAGTTTTTTGTGCGCATCAGAGTTTACCCCGGCAGATGATAAAAGTGCTGTATATTCGAAGACAGGGATGTAGATGTGACCAGGTAGGGGGTTAACAGCGCAGGTATGGCAGGTCGCGACATGTGTCTCGTGCAGGTGCTGACTGCTCCGTCCGACCCTTAACTGGCGTCCAACTCTCATTTGCGGTTACCCGAGGTTAGATACCACCTAGCGACCACACCCCGGTAACCGCCTCGACCGGTGGGCTAAACCAGATGAAGGTATCTGACGTTCTCTGATGCAACACCCGGTAATTCAGCTTCCTTTGTTGATAGAAGCGAACAGGCGAGTCCCAGGTAGCAGTTCAGAAGACGAAGACCTGGTCATATTTTCAAATTTCAAGAGGCCGAAATTCTCGCAAGGCGTGACAACCGCGTGAGCCGCGAGCTGCTCGAGTCATGGTTCTCAGGCCCGCAATCCATCGACAAGCGCAATGACCTCCCGCTACCATATTCCGTGCTGGGTTTTTCCCTAGGCAGGGGAATCAGTCACGTGGGAGGGCGCGGGCGAGCAGCGAGCCAATTTGTCGAGCAATCGTCACACCAGCATCCAGCACGGATGACGAAATCATGGCCATTAATGACTCGGACGCGGACTGACAAGCCATCAGCGTATCAATTACGACCCCAGTGGTGATTGAGAGAACTGTTAATTGCAGTGCGCATATGGTCCCACTGCATCCAAGTGCTATAAATATGGCACTCATTGTGCCACCATTACCCTTATCTGCGAATGTCTATGACGATGGGTCTGAGTAAGAAACCGAAACGTCAGGCCAATGAACTTCTTGTTCCAGTGATCGCATCTTCGTTTTCTGATCTGCTTTCTTTCCCATCCCCCTTTGCCTTCTACGAAGGACGACGGGAAATCCTGTAGGCGACCCATGCTAACTCAGCCAGTTCTCTACTGCACAAAATTGTCACCCATAGTAGTGTTCGTTAGCCGTCTGCGATGTCTAATTCGCCCTATTTAGAATAATGTGGACCCTACAGCAGCCTGTCCTCGTTGCGATCGCACCTTCGCACCACACATTAGCCTGGTTGGTCACTTGCGAATCCATCGCACAGAGATTGGCTAGCTGGTGCCTAGAGCTCCGACGTACACATGTGGCCTATTCGGCCACATGTGCATCCACGACAGCGGAAGTCACCGCAATGCTGACATGCCAAACGCACTTTGCATACGCCCATCTCCAGCATTGCCAACTCCCTATACACCAGCGTTGCCACCATTAACAGATTCGGCCACAGATGCCTTAACAAGAATCTGCGGCAAACCAATGCAGACCAAAACCCATCTTCACACATCTCCCCGCTGGCCCACGCACCACACACGAACTAGTCCTAAATCCCCACCACAGGTACGGAATAAGCAGCTCTCACTTAAGTTGGACGTGTGCTTTTGGCTCCTCACGGCACTTAGGCACATTTCCTAACTATGATAAATCTGACGCGTCAAAAGTCGTGGATTGAGAGGTTGCCAACTGACAATACAACTCAGACTTCGTAGTCGCCCCTGTGTGTGTGTTTGTGTGGAGTGGTCGGCCGGTGGATTATGAATAAGGCTCAACGGCGCCTTCTCAACAGGGCCTCTATGAAATTCCCACGCATGTGAGAATCGAGCAGTTCAGCCCCTTCCGTGAAAGCCCGATGCGTCGTTTTGGACGCCAGGTCGTGTGTGGGACGCACAGACGGACTGTTTAACTCTGTCAGCTAATGCGCCCAAGTCCCGCGTCAGGTGACTAACTGGCCGTGACAGTTGATTAGTGCCTAGGTGAGGGAAGAGAGAACAAGATCGACTCTGGAGGCTCCATCACCAAGTCACTCAGCGCATATGCTTCGCCCTAAACAACTTGACGCACTATTAACCTATCACGGCATTCTAAAAGTCGTAGTTTGGAAGCCTGTAACTAACTCGGTCTTCCTAGGACGGAAAGTCAGGCTGAAATTGCTTATCCTCAATGTGGCCTCTATGGCGTCCTCACTCACTTGGAAGCTGAGTCTTGCTCTTCCTGCTTGTGCGAAAACCCGGTCCCAGTGCGAAGACCAGGCGTGTGTGGCACGCGCAAACGGGCTATTTAGCTTCGTCGGCCACCTAGCAGTGTACAAAATACCAAACTCGAATGCAGTTTGAAGTTTCTTGGCATAGAATAAAAGCGATTCCCAGGCAAGGTCTTAGCAGCGTCCGACGAAGGATGACAAAGGGCAGGAAGTGCTGGGGAAGGCTGAAAGGAGAAAGGCTGAATCCACAGGTCGAGATGTTGGGAGTTTGAGGCGAGCGATCTGCCAGTAAGCTGACCGGGACATTTGGTGGAGTGGTGGGTATTTTACGAAGATTTGTGCTTGTCCAGGAGTCCATCGCAAAACGAACGCGCAGGCAGTCATGCAGACGTAAGTGTGACGATAAGGCGCAGCGGTTGGTTAGCCTTCTCACCGAGGTGATGCAACGATCGACAGAAGCGACACAGCGGCGAGGTATCGAAATGAGTGCACACGCACACACGCGCGCCCGCACACCCGAGATCGCACACACATAAGATCGCCTGCACACCTTCACTTCCCGAGACATGTTGCAATGCGGTGAGCGCGAAAAGTTCAGGGAAGTCGCGGTTTAGCGTGGTAACCTGGTTTGTACACAGGACAAGTACTCACCTCCGGGTCAGTTGCTGACAAACTAGACACATAGGTCCTAGTAAGAATTGTGAGCGGAATGCGTATACTTGGACTCAATTTTTAAGCAACGAGTTGAGTGCAGGTGTAGCTCTAATTTTCACACAGATTTTGATACGAGTCCTGACGCCTTGATCTACAGTTACTGAAAAAATAACAGGAATAGCAAGTTGACTAAAACTACATTTATAAAAGAAAACATACGCCACTTACCTCATACTGTCAGAGAGCTCATATGCACTGCTGTTCATGTTATCTATCCTGGCGTATCAGTTATTATTACGGGAAGTTGGCGATAGCAGTTAGTTTACTTCTACAAATAAACATATTCGCGGCTTTGTCTTCTAAATTTACTAGCGTAAACTTCTCTATACATTGAAGAGTGCGTTACACTCTACTTCAATCAGTATGTAGAAAGCACTTTTTTTGAAAATTCATGCGGTAGCTTGCAGGTGTCCGTTTTTCTAGACTGAGATCTCGCAATTTCAATTTACATGAAGGCAGGCTTTTTTTGACCACTCCGCTACAAAGGCAGGTGCAAAGTAATTTGTTTGCAAAAAGTAGGGTCAGAGATAAAAGCCAACGGATTCTACATGTATTAAACTCGCCGTAATAAGGTCGTTCCGTAGACGGATACCGCAGAAAAAGTTTACGCAAGCACCTTCCGCGGATTCGTGTAATCCCATGCAGTATTCACGAAGGGTCGCCATGCTTTTGAGCCCAAAGCTACAGTTATTAACTCCTTCTTGAATAGGCTTTTTATTCATGTCAAAATTCGAAGGCTCGTATCACAACTAAAATACTGGTTTAGCTAAGCTGCTAACTATTCGCAGACAGCTGACGGACAGGAGCAAGCGTATACCAAACTGGTAAGTTTTTTGTTCATTCCCTGTCAGACAAACCACGCAAATATAAGGCGTTTTTCCGAAGTCTAGCGACTGACATGCTGCAAACCTGAAGTACAGCCTGCTATCGGAAAGGGCTAAACTTGGAAGTAATTAATCGACTATCGCCCAGCAGACTCGCAGACTTTGGACGCCCAAAAATGATTTGATGGAAGTTCCACTTAGCAGTGGTATGATAACGTACCATGCCGAGGCCTCACTAAAGGGACGGAGCCCCAGCAGACAGCTCTAAATTTTAACTACTGGGGGACCCATGATTGCGACCCAATGGCTTAACCCATCTGCCATTACTTGGAAAAAGCACACATATCCTCATCGGCCTGTTAAAATGTGTAAAGTGAAGCAGAAGATTGCCTTTTTAAGTCGCATTTAGAAATGAGTGTATCATGGATAAGAAAGGTGGTGTGTTGCCTGAAATTGCAGTAGCGAAGCTTCTGTTTGTTTTGGCAGTCACAAGGACTCCCGACACTTCAAATGGCCCTGTGGAAGTGGCATCGATCACCATTACAGAGAGCAGAAAGTTCGGTGGACGTAAGCAGATAAGCAGGCTTGCAATCCGTCGTTCAGTAGCCAAAATAATTACAACCTATACTATCTTAAATCTCATCGATAACAAGAAACCGCTTGCGCGCTGAAGTGGAACAGCTGCCTTCGCCTCGTTTGACCGGAAGTAGCCTGCGGCCTGCCTTCCAGACAAATCATTCATCATTTTGGGGTGAGTCGACTGGGTTGCCGATTTTTCACCAACAAATTATGACGTTCTTTAAAGGTTTAAGGCCTCCGAGAATTTGAAACTGCATGGTAGGGGATAAGAACAGTCTGAGACAGATTCGTTGATGACTCACAAATTGTTGCGGAGCCAACTCATTGCTCTCACTTTCAGGCAGCATATACGCTAAAGTACGCTGCATGCCAAGCCTACGAGAAAACCCGTTTTCCGCAATAAATTCCAGATTTTTACGACCTGGACGTCAAGGAGCAGCATGATGTGCGGCATAAATGCACACCAGTTTAGTAAACATAAAAAACTGTGGCTGTCCCGAAACTGTGAGGGCGTCGATCTCTCAAGCGTTCTAAGTATAGCCGCATATGGCTCATGGTGTCCTCTCGCATTACCCATCTCCTCTTTTTGCCAAAATTCTTGATATATTCTTCTGGAGCAACTTTTTTGAGCAACTTATAAGCCAGTCCAGTATCCCTACATTCGGTAAAGGAAGTGGACTTTTGTCCCTTTGTTGGGTGCAGCCGATAATTATTGTGCAGGTAAAGACGTTTTCTATCAAGAGGAGGCCATTTAAATAGAAGTAGCTGGCTAACAATAATGATCTATAAAACGGATACTTTGCCCATAGGTAAAAGTCAGGTCTTTTAGGTCAGGTTTTTTTAACTCTTCCAATATTTGAAAACTGTCAACCCCACTTTTACATATACTAAGAAATCACGGATCCTCTTAACAGTTGTGTTTTTCGTCTGACCAATGACTTTGTGAAGGACAGTTAGAGGGAATCCGTAAATTAATCACCCGCAGTAAATGTTTAGTTGCCGCCTGGTATCGCTTAGACTACAGATTGCACTTGGACCCTCCAGAATTATTCGCCAAGCCTTCATATCCAGGCCGTTTTTGGCAACTTTTAGAGCCTCAGATCAAATACTAACATGGAGCATCGTCTTCGGGATACCATAGTCAGACCGACTTCATCTTCTTGAACGACACACATATGATTTTTCGACAGCATCGTTGTCCTCTACGTACTCTGGATTCAGTAGTGGGAACTCGCTAGTGGTGGACAGGCGAGAGATATCCACATATAGACTCCAATTTCTTTGCTCGCAATCGCACCCCGTTTACATGGACAGCACATACGACAATCTGACTGTGGTCTCCGACAATGCCCACCGTGTGCGTCACAGCAGAGTGGACGCAGGTACTTGCGTAGTATCCACGAAACGCCCTCCCGCCCCTCCCTCCATCCGGACCCGATGTCAAGAAAATCGGAGACAGGAAAGGACGCAGGCGGCTGGAACGGAGAAAAACCCCACCTAGGCGTACCACCACACCCCCTAGTCTACAAGCACAGTAACCAGCATTTTATACAAGGAAAAAGGAGGACAGCTCAAATCCCGATTGGCGTGGAGTGGAACTGTACCTGAGCGTGCTGCCACACCCCCAATGTTGGCATTTGTTATAGGGGCACACTCCCAGCAACGCCTGTCGGACGCCAATTTAGCAACACATACAATGCCCAAAACAGACTGGCCCGGTGATGAGAAATTGATCACTCTGAGTGCCTCCTTGCACTCGAAACTACTACGTTAGTCATTTCGGCGTACTGAAATTAAAAGCTAGCTTCGAGTTGCATATTCGTCTTTTTTAACCACTAAAATAGAAACTGATAATAAAGTACAGAAAAAGGGATGCTACTGGAAACGAACTGACGCATTCCTACCCATTGAAACTGTTGCCCACATTTGACCTATTAAAAATTATTTGTGTTCTCGTGATCAGCTATTTCCAGAGGACAATAGTGACATTAGGATTCATTCTAAAGTCCTACCGTTCGAATGTTCTCAATCATCTTGCTTAAGTGCTGATAAGCAAACAAAACTTCAAGGCTTTGCCGCTGTTTGAGATAAAACTGGACAACTAAGAAATATTTAACGTTCGTGCAAGCGTAAAAATTAGAATTTTTACGACTGACATTAATCATCTACTTTAAACGTGTACCCGATAATAAAGGCACAGGGAGAGAAGAGTAGTAACTTCTCGTCCCAGAGCTTGAAGTGCGTATATTTGCAGCATGATGACAGCGAAACGTTCGTCTCCAATGCTGTTGATATCATTCCGAAGCTACTGAGCAAATTTTCTGGAAGAGACATGTAATGACAAGGACGTAGAGACCAGGAAGACCACTCCTCGTTAGTTGACCATTTTCACCAGCTTTATAGAAGCATCAATCCAAACTACGATGGAGCTGAAAGACAGTCAGGAGCGTCGACGCAATTCAAAGTCTAAAAAACCACCACCGGGCTGCGGTTCCATGCCCCAAAATGAATTTTCATATTGATACGGAAGAACACTCGGAAGCACCGATACCTACGAGCAAAACATATCTAAAGCCCCTATTTTAAATTCGTTCATCTCTCCGTTAGCGGGCAATAAAGGGGGAGGAGGTAATAAATTACGAGCCAAAAAACGCATTTCGGTTTCCTGAATAGAATTTGTGAAATCATGCCTACAAACTATGCGCTTATCCACGATGACAAAGGCGTTAAGGCGCAAACACTCGTCAACCTACGTTCACAGATGAATAGTCACATAATAAAGGGAAGGGCTCTACCCACTTATTGCAACGAGACCTGTGACACCTTGCAGCGGGGCAAAGCTTAAAAAACAAAACTACCGTACATGGCGATCAGTTCACTCAACACTGCACACATTCGTGTAAAAAGATCCCTAACTAGAAGGATTTCAAAGCGTTAATTCTCATTGCTGGGAGCTGAAACCGAAATTGAATGATGGGCCTTAGATAGAGCAAGTAAACGGTGCTTGCGTCCACTTTGAGGTTCTCAGAAACATACGAACAGTTTCCATCACCAAGAAAGCATCAGCCTAGAGGAAAATGGTTAATAAACCCAATTCAAAGCATAGTGAGGACAACCTCAAGAATTTCGAGATGGGAAACGTTTCGACGTTTTTGTTCCCTTCTTGTGACTCTGTCTGGTTGACCGATGCAATTTCCCCAGCATATTTTTATATGACGTTCCCGATAATTTTAAGGACGGAAGACATACGTTGAAGGCAGTAGGGACTAGTACGACTTAAACTGAGAAAGATGCACTAGAAAATATGCGGCGGTCGATATAGGTGTGATTTTATCCGTCATATATTCAGAACTGCTAAAATCGTGTAGTGATTGGAGAGTCGCAGTTATGAGATGGAAATTTTTCTTTAACGCAACAGCGTTCATAATTCCGCCCATGTCTAGATGAGGAGGTCCATTTTACACTCACACTTTAGAAGAATTTTGTTCTAAGTTTATGGAATGAATTCGAAGTTACACTTCAAAAGCTTACTCTCCACTGGGTATTCATCCTCACTGTTGTACACTGCATGCAATCCACGCAACATACTGTCCAGCAAGTTTAAATTTTCCTGAAGTGGGCGGTGGACCTGCTGTTGGTATGCCATAGATCCATTGATTCCATTTTCATTACCAGGACGCCGATAACTGTCCGCGGTATAGGAGGAACCTTCTTGCAAGGTCGGGGTTTTGGTAATTATATTATGTGTTTGGTAGGCCGTCTGGCCAGTGTCGAAAGTCTGCTGGCTGTTGGAGCTCTGTTTGCGAAGCACCTGCTGTTTAGTCGCATGGAGGTCCTCCAGAAGCGCGTCTAAACGGAATTGTTGTTCAGTCGATAATTAAATACGGTATCGTATCACTGTTGTACATGTCATGAGGTTTCGCAACTGCTGTATCATATGCACTAAACACTTTGACCTAATAATGACGACAACATTCCGCAAGGCATAAACAGGTTTTACGCAATCCAGGCGTCTTCATCTTTGATACCAAAACGCTATGTGCTGTTATGACCTGAATATTTGCTTTTCCCGTATGGAGTTGCGTCACGTTGTGGACTAGAAACCTTATAAACGCTACGGGTACTTCATGATTCAAATATATGCCTCTGTTAACACAATATTACATAACCAGGATGATTAACTTTGAAAGACAGCTTATATTGTGATCATTTTACTGACAAAGGTGAACAAGTTTGATGATGAAAAATTCTAAAAGCACACCTCCCCGAAAGTTGAGAATGCAAACAAAAATTAATTTTTATCAAATAAAATAAGAAAGCAGTAGGCAAAGTGGGCTTTGTTTTATGTGTATGTGCAACTATAGCATCAAACAGGAGGGCCAATACGTCAAAAAAGAAATGTTGTTGGTAAGTAAGTCTATTTCGACCATTTTGAAACTTGTGACAGAACAGGAGAACCGTTCATTTTTTTTACAAGAGCACTGCCTTTACGGGGACAAGTTTGCGGCAATAATTAAGTAGTTTTATGCCAGCACAACTTACACCGGTAGCCTTTGTTTCTGGATTTAGTCATTTTTTGTGAATTGTAGTTATATATGATGGAAACATCATTTAAGAAAATATGGACGGTGAATTAGACATAGACCTCGATGCTAGTACGTCTTCAAGCAGTATGTGGTCGCGTTATGCTATCTTTGAAGTTTCCAAACGTTTTACACTATCGGAAATCTCGTAGATTTCAGGACTCCTGAAGTCAGGGATTAAATGGGTCATCAAACCGGTTATTCTTGTGTTATACTCTTGTGCAAATAAAATTCTCCACTGCTGACTTGTATATTCCTCTCGATGTTATTAAAATAAATTGTCATATCGATTCGTCCGTTGGCATCAGACTTAAACGATAAGAAATGGCATGCCCGCTTGTTGGCGTACATATCAATGGTCGTCAACGCGTTTGACTGCACTTTCAAAACTCGACTGCGAATGTGTTTGCAAAGAAAGATTTTTCACAATGGCCATAAAAAATAATCCTTAAATGCAGTCGCATTGAAGCATCAGAGTCAAGGCAAATTAGCTGCAAACTTTAATTTCAAAATCGTAGCTGTGTTTCCAAGAACTAAATAGAGTAAAATCTGTGCATGCGAAATAAACGTTACCTTTCAAAAGACAGAATAACGGAACCCGTTGGTGCTTTTAAAATCAGTCAATCTCTATGGACGAGCATGGATTTACTTAATAAAAAGCTACTTTGGTCCAATATTCTACACCAGGATTCTGAAGTAGCCGCGAAGCGCACGGCAACATGTTTGATTTCAGTTTCGATGGCTATTGGACCAAATTTATTTTGATGCGTTACGAGTAAACGTGTAAGATTATCTAGTGGTTCAGTCGCCGTTAGGATTAGGAGGAAAATGGCTATTTCTGAGACTGTTGTAAGAAATCGGAAATTTTTCAATGACATGAAAATTCGACCGTCATTGCCAATGATGTCCACCGTGTGCTCTATAACAGGGTGATAGCAGGATCGGGGAGATGCGCGTGAATTATTTCATAGTGACAGTAGACTTGCGCGGCGCTTACCGCACTCTATCCGCCTGCCCCGCCTGGGCCTGATGTCAAGACATAGCCAAGAAGATCGGAGGCAGAAAAGGGCGCGGGTAGCTGTCACAGCCGAACAAGCACACAGGCGTACCGTCACACCCCCTGGTCCACAACAAACACTTGACCGGAGTTTTACCCGACGATAAAAATACGTGAGGCGGCAGGAACCCATGTTGGCGGACGTCAGCTGACAACTGGAACTGCCACCGCATCCCGCTTGTTCACATTTATTATGGTGCCTGATAACGTCTGCCAGAATTTGATATGGCCCCGCGTTGGCCCGCTGCATCTAACGTTTTGGAGGCACTCCCAATGACATACCAACATATACTCGAACAGAGCAAACAAACTCCGTCAATTCATGAAATACCCCATTCTAACGATAGTTCTGCGGCAACGCGTCCTGCACTTTTATGCATAAATAGTAGCATGACACAATTGTGAGAGTCCAATTTTATCAAAGGCTTTTTTGAAGTCATCACCGCTTTTTTACCTTATCCCACGGCCGTGTGAAGACCCGGACCCGAGCAAGGCCTCTTTGATCAGTTAGCAGTAAAACAGATACATTTTTGTTGAGCCGATATGTAGCGTTCCACCTGATGTGATTCGTGGTAGTGAAGGTCGCACAGACGTTGCGTGAACGGGCAAATAAGCCAAAGACGTCCATTCCAGTACCCCAAGTCCTTGACGACAACACTGCTCAATAAGTGATTGCTCCTAACCATGCAATAACCTGTGTGGGTTCCGGTTTTAAGGTAAAGCGGAGCATTAACATCCGATCGAGCAATGGAAAGTGACCGGTGAACGCCACTCCAGTGCGATTTTTACTATTTAATTCCACAACCGACTGGGCATACGTGACCGGTTCAGTAGTAGAATGTCTCGATTGATGCTCAATGACCAAAAATCCGATGTTTGTTTCTCAGGTCTGAAGGTGCGGACGGCTTTCCGAAGATGGTGCATAAGACACAAGCAGTCATTGCGGTTGCCCGACTCCTATACTGAGATAAGATTCTTCCATATAAAAGGAACTGAGTATCCCCTGATAAAATTTTGCTGTTCAGTTGCCGGCTATAGAGGCCACAAAGTTGCTGTAATCGCGGACCGGTGCGAACGGCCTCAATTTCGTATGCAAACGCAGGCACGCACCTTCTCATGGGGAGAATCGCATAGCTCTCGGGTCGAGTAGGCTGCAAAGTACCCGGAATGCTCATGAGGGGAGGACAGTCCGTTTGGCCGCGTAAAGTGCACTTACACGAGTGAGCGCGTACGCATGAGCACGACCTTTCTATTGGAGAGTTGCTTGCTGTTACTCAACTCTGAGTTGTCCCTGTAACAACCAAAATGTAGCTTCGATTGTGCTATCGGGGTCGTGCACGTGAAACATATATTTTATGAAGCGTTATGTTTCTAACGCAAATTCTTAGACGTGCTGAATATGCCAATTTGGGCCACGCAAACTGTTTGCGAAATATCTTGTTAAATCTAAACGAACTCAAAGTATTGCACGGCAAAGTATTGGTACCAATGCTGCGTATCTCACCAATACTTCCAAAAACAAAATTCTAAAAACTGCGTTTTCTATATCACGAAATAAATTAAGTTACAAATAGCGACACATCTGGAGAAAAACGTGTTTACAGACCGCGTTTTTCTAACTGCCCTTGTCAAACTATGTCCATCACGTCTTACCGAGGTTTTCCATCGTACAGTTTGAAAGCGCGCGGTGTTTATATGCGCTCTAGAGTAGTCTGCCATGGACGCGAACGCAGTATTTATCAAAATCCAAACCATAAATATCTCGTTGTTTGTCTGGTGCGATCAGCACAAACAGAAAAAAGTAGATTAGAGGCAACTTGAACAAATGGATCGAAAATTTCCTTGTGGGTCGACACCATGTTGTGTGCATCGGGCAAGGGAAATCAGATCCTGCTGTGGTCGACTGTGGTGTTCCCCAGGCGTCAGTAATGAAACCCATTTTGTTCCTTATATACGTGGACGACTGTGCAAGAGCTTCGGACTGCGAAATGGCAATGTTTGCAGATGGCATGAAGATATGGGGTGTACCTCGGGATCCTGACGACGACGACAGAATGCAGATGAACCTAAATCGGTTGGAAGAGTTGTCAAACCATTGGCTCCTGTAGTTTATTGTTGGTAAATGTAGCATACTTCGCATAGGCAACACAGCCAGATCCGCCAGCACAAGAGACTACTTTCTGAGCGGTGCAGCCTTGCGAGACTTCAAAGCCCAAAAGGATTCCGGTGTGCTAACGACGAACTCCCTAAAACCATTCGCCCGTTGTTCGAGAGTGACAAAAAGCGCAATGTCCGTACTGTACGCCATCAAGCGTGCGTTTATGGACTATGATGATGACGCTTTCTCAATGACACTCGGAACATTCGCGCGGCCGCACTTTAAATACGGCATACAACCCTATGCATATATTAGGAGCTATACGAAAAACCGGGACCATCTGGCAACTTTAAAGGACAAAAAACGAATTGTGAGCGATGGCCTTCAAAAAGCCCAGCTTCTTTCTGAGTTTTTCCAAAGTGTCTACACCACGGAACCACCCCTCCAGTCCTGTTCTCTTCCACTGCCCGCCAACCAACCACTTATAAGCACAGTATTTTTTTACTCCGCAGTTAGTTTTAGCAGAGCTAAATAAGCTGGATCCAGCCAAGTCACCTGGACCAGATGAGATCCCAGGTGTACTCCTGCGTCAGCTAGCCGAAGGATTAGCAGAGCAACTTTCTATAATCTTCCAAAAATGGCTGGAAGCTGGCAGACTGCCTGACACATGGAAGTTGGCAAACGTCGTACCTATCCACAAGGGAGGATCACGGCTATGTCCCACGAACTACCGGCCGGTTAGTTTGGCATGCATTTGCTGCAAACTCATGGAAAAAGTAGTTAAAAAATCTATTACACCACTCGATACTTTCCGCTGCCACATCGCCTCAGTTCAACATGGCTTCTGCGAAAAGAGGTCGTGCCTCACAAACCTGCTTTCGTCACTCGAACACTGGTTGAAGGCCATGGATGAAGTACATCCAGTTGATGTCATTTACTTCGACTTCAGCAAGGCGTTCGACTGCGTCCCACATAAACGCCTCATTCAAAAGTTGTCAGAAGTAGGGATAAGAGAAAAGCTTCTGAACTGGATTCAAGATTTCCTAAACGGACGGCGACAAAAAGTAACTGCAGGCGGCTACTGCTCAGAATGGGCACCTGTTACGAGTGGAGTCCCATAGGGGTCAGTTCTTGGACCGCTCCTATTCATTATCTACATAAATAACCTAGTAGGGGAAGTGAAATCGGAAATAGCGCCCTTTGCAGACGATCTTAAACTTTGGAGAGCGATAAAAAAATAAAGATGACGTCAAGATACTACAAAAGGACGTAGAGAATTTGCACGCATGGAGCGAGGAATGGTGCATGAAATTCAACGTCAAAAAAATGTGTAGTAATGCACGTAGTATCAGCGAGGCGCAAAACAAATGCATCCTAACGACAGTATCTCCTGGACAATCAACCACTTAAGACCGTAGATGTGCAAAAAGATCTCGGTGTGTTCATTAAAGACGATCTAAGCGTCACCACGCAGTGTTCTAAAGCTGCTGCGCGAGCAATGTCCGTTATGAGCGCTAATCGCAGAACGTTTATACACTTGAATAAAGATGTTTTTAGCAAAGTATACTGGACATTCGTGCGACCGCACCTGGAATATGCGGTAAAGGCTTGGCGGCCGTGGCTTCGGAAGGATATGGATATCCTTGAAGGTGTACAACGGCGTGCTACAAAGGCTGTTCATGGCCTCACAAACTTCACGTACGAGCAGCGCCTGACGGCTTTGAACCTCTATCCCCTCCACTGCAGGCAGGACAGAGGTGCCCTCATAGCAACGTTCCAGTTTGTAAAAGGACTTAATCTGGATGTCGACTGGGAAAAGTTTTTTGTAATGGCACCCAAGTCCAATCTCAGACGACATGATTACCAGCTTAAAAGAGAACTGTGCCACATAACTCAACGCTCCTCGTTTTTCTCACAGAGGGTCATTCGCCAATGGAAGTCTTTGCCGGAGTTTGTTGTTAATTCCCCTACTGTGAACGTGTTCAAGAGACAACTGGATGCTTACCTGCTGAAAGGCAACCCGAACTGCCGAAGCCTGATCTAACTGATTACTGAAATGACTATAAATATACTACTAACAAGATTTCAACAGATCCTATTTTGTGTTGCAAACTTAGCCCATATTGCAATTTTCACAGTCCGAATGCGGTGAACAAAGGTTTTCGCAATAATTTCGCGATCATAATACCCCTTTCGCCTTTGGTTTACATTATTAGATTTATGAATTCTCCTTACTAAAACTACAAGCTTTGCAATTTACCTATTTTCCCTTATATCTGTACCCTCTAAATGGAGTTTTCAGGGCTTCTGTCGTTTACTCCAAATATACTGACTGACTGAATCCTGGAGACCGTGAGCAGCTCAAGGCCAAAATTGTCACGAAAGAGTTCAGAGGTGAGCCACGAAGGTGGTTAGGGGTGAAAGCTCCTTTCCTGACGTAACCCGCCTAGTTAATCTAAATCTCTTCACTTTTGAATTATAGGCAACTTCGCGGGGATGACTTGCAAACATTCAGTATTGTAAACGGGTGGATTACAGCCTGCCCTGTGGCGACTGTTTTCAATTCATTACCACGACCAACCTCCGAGGTCACCCGTTAAAACTACGCACTCAGCCGACGATAATGGATGTGCGGAAGTTCTCCTTCTCTGTCCGAGTGGTCAAACCATGGAATGTCTCCCCTGCAGGCATTATGATGTCACCATCGATACAAGCTTTGGAAAGAACCTTGACATATTTATGTTGCGAAATGACCAAGGGCGATGAGAGATCGAGCTCATCACTCGAGACTCACACCAATTGTGTTATACCATTATGGGTTCGTTTAAATTATTTCAGCCCAGTAGTTTCTCCGTAAACCGCACCTAACTGTACGTCGTAGAATAGCTCACGCCTATTTCCCTCAATAAACGGAACTGAACTGAACAGAACAGTCTGGAGGCTGAAATGCTTAGCGAAATGCAAAGATGGTGGTAGAGGCAGACAGGTTATCAGACGAACTAATAGCGGCAGCTAAAACGTCGCAAAAGGAGAGCTTACAGAATCTGGTAACCGAAAAGTGTAGAGAAACACAAACGGATTGCGTATGCGATAGCAACAAGAATGCCGCAAAAACAGTAGGAAGAGCATATAAATTCGGTTGACTTTATGCAATCAGAACTTATAGGAAGTTGGTGGGTTCTATCATTATGGCGTCGGACTGACTTGAACCGCCCCAGTGAACTGCTGTAACCTACACCTCTGCGAGATTAATCCCGCCTAGACCAATATTATAGGCTGAAAAGTCTGCATGAGGTGTTAGCGGCAATTCAAAACTCCGGCCTTTTCCATCCACACTGTCCAGGATAAAGGTGGTTTCTGTGTGTAGCATGTTGGTGAAACGAATGTTGCAGCTCACATACTTTTTATGGTGTACTGGTTAAAATACTGGCATAAATCGCGAGATAATGCAACGGTGCGTCTCTCCTCACCTTATATGTGGCGTTGTACATTGAGTGGATACGTCAAGTAAGGGTAACAGGTCGCTTCAGGACCCTCGTGCATGTGACGGGTACTCCGTACGGACCTTAATGGCATCTAACTCCTGATGGCCACACGCGAGTGAGTCCATCGACTAGAAAGTTAACCTGGATGAGCTTATCCGGTATTTGAGCGCGTATGTTTGTGTCCAAAATTCCGGAAGTTTCTCCACCTTTTCCATACTTCCTCAAATGATGAAATCCTATGGTGTGTGCGACAGTGTTTCCAGTGGCAGACCAAACTATTCTGGATAGTCTTCCGCAGTGGAGATCAGCAATTCACCTAGAATTACTAATCAGCCCTATTTGAGTCTTCGTTAGAGGCATAAATAGGCACTTCGGACTAATTTTTGGGACTCACAGCGAGCAAACTGACCGTGAATCTGAGACGCAGGAGACGCGATGGAAGCAATATACAAACGGCCATCTACGGTCTCCATTCTGCGACTCTCCCCGATGGTTTCTATAGTAACTTTGTCCTCCATGACAACCTGGGATGGCTGTTCGCCTCTGGGCTACTCCTGGGCTGTCGGTCGAAAAGGAGGACAGCGCTGGCTGCTCGAGAACTGACGGAATACAAGGTGAAAATCTCAGCTGCTAGTAAGAACCGATTCTCCGAGCAGGGTCGGCTGGAGGAGGACGGTGCAGCCTGCACATTCTTCTGAGTGGATGCCCGAAAACTAAATGACCCTATGTTGGTGTAGTGCTGCAAAAAGCGTTTGGTTCTAGTGAATTAAATTCCGTCCATAAACTAAAACGCAATCTTGGCATAAATCTCGACTGGAGCTACCCTCGGGGCTAAGTTGTTTCGGCCGAGGCCCAACAGGCGGCCACAGTGAGAAAACTTCTCTAGGTGGGTCGGGTACAACGGGATGGCGGTTTTGAGGGGAAGAACGGGCGAGGTTAACAGCAGAGGGCACTGGATGGACAGCTGGATGTCGAAAAATGTTGGAAATCGCAGAAAAATAATTATTTGTCTTAATGAAATCAAAAATACCGCAGGATGGCGCGCAAATAGGGAAAACCGTAGACAATGTCCAAGCGCAGGTG